TGTGACTGTAGTTTGGTCATGTGACTGTAGTTTGGTCATGTGACTGTAGTTTGGTCTTTGGTCGTGTGACTAGTTTGGTTGTGTGACTGTAGTTTGGTCGTGTGACTGTAGTTTGGTCGTGTGACTGTAGTTTGGTCATGTGACTGTAGTTTGGTCGTGTGACTGTAGTTTGGTCATGTGACTGTAGTTTGGTCGTGTGACTAGTTTGGTCGTGTGACTGTAGTTTGGTCGTGTGACTAGTTTGGTCGTGTGACTGTAGTTTGGTCATGTGACTGTAGTTTGGTCATGTGACTGTAGTTTGGTCGTGACTGTAGTTTGGTCGTGTGACTGTAGTTTGGTTGTGTGGACTAGTTTGGTCGTGTGACTGTAGTTTGGTCGTGTGACTGTAGTTTGGTCATGTGACTGTAGTTTGGTCTTTGGTCGTGTGACTGTAGTTTGTTCGTGTGACTGTAGTTTGGTCGTGTGACTGTAGTTTGGTCGTGTGACTGTAGTTTGGTCGTGTGACTGTAGTTTGGTCGTGTAACTGTAGTTTGGTCGTGTGACTGTAGTTTGGTCGTGTGACTGTAGTTTGGTCGTGTGACTGTAGTTTTGTCGTGTGACTGTAGTTTGGTCGTGTGACTATAGTTTGGTCGTGTGACTGTAGTTTGGTCGTGTAACTGTAGTTTGGTCGTGTGACTGTAGTTTGGTCGTGTGACTGTAGTTTGGTCGTGTGACTGTAGTTTGGTTGTGTGACTAGTTTGGTCGTGTGACTGTAGTTTGGTCGTGTGACTGTAGTTTGGTCGTGTGACTGTAGTTTGGTCTTTGGTCGTGTGACTGTAGTTTGTTCGTGTGACTGTAGTTTGGTCGTGTGACTGTAGTTTGGTCGTGTGACTGTAGTTTGGTCGTGTGACTGTAGTTTGGTCGTGTAACTGTAGTTTGGTCGTGTGACTGTAGTTTGGTCGTGTGACTGTAGTTTGGTCGTGTGACTGTAGTTTTGTCGTGTGACTGTAGTTTGGTCGTGTGACTATAGTTTGGTCGTGTGACTGTAGTTTGGTCGTGTAACTGTAGTTTGGTCGTGTGACTGTAGTTTGGTCGTGTGACTGTAGTTTGGTCGTGTGACTAGTTTGGTCGTGTGACTGTAGTTTGGTCGTGTGACTAGTTTGGTCGTGTGACTGTAGTTTGGTCGTGTGACTGTAGTTTGGTCGTGTGACTGTAGTTTGGTCATGTGACTGTGGTTTGGTCGTGTGACTGTAGTTTGGTCGTATGACTGTAGTTTGGTCGTGTAACTGTAGTTTGGTCGTGTGACTGTAGTTTGGTCGTGTAACTGTAGTTTGGTCGTGTGACTGTAGTTTGGTCATGTGACTGTAGTTTGGTCGTGTGACTGTAGTTTGGTCATGTGACTGTAGTTTGGTCATGTGACTGTAGTTTGGTCGTGTGACTGTAGTTTGGTCATGTGACTGTAGTTTGGTCGTGTGACTGTAGTTTGGTCGTGTGACTGTAGTTTGGTCATGTGACTGTAGTTTGGTCGTGTGACTGTAGTTTGGTCTTTGGTCGTGTGACTGTAGTTTGTTCGTGTGACTGTAGTTTGGTCGTGTGACTGTAGTTTGGTCGTGTGACTAGTTTGGTCGTGTGACTGTAGTTTGGTCGTGTGACTGTAGTTTGGTCGTGTGACTGTAGTTTGGTCTTTGGTCGTGTGACTGTAGTTTGTTCGTGTGACTGTAGTTTGGTCGTGTGACTGTAGTTTTGTCGTGTGACTGTAGTTTGGTCGTGTGACTGTAGTTTGGTCGTGTGACTGTAGTTTGGTCGTGTAACTGTAGTTTGGTCGTGTGACTGTAGTTTGGTCGTGTAACTGTAGTTTGGTCGTGTGACTGTAGTTTGGTCGTGTGACTGTAGTTTGGTCGTGTGACTGTAGTTTGGTCGTGTAACTGTAGTTTGGTCGTGTGACTGTAGTTTGGTCGTGTGACTGTAGTTTGGTCGTGTGACTGTAGTTTGGTCGTGTGACTGTGGTTTGGTCGTGTGACTGTGGTTTGGTCGTGTGACTGTAGTTTGGTCTTTGGTCGTGTGACTGTAGTTTGTTCGTGTGACTGTAGTTTGGTCGTGTGACTGTAGTTTGGTCGTGTGACTGTAGTTTGGTCGTGTGACTGTAGTTTGGTCGTGTAACTGTAGTTTGGTCGTGTGACTGTAGTTTGGTCGTGTGACTGTAGTTTGGTCGTGTGACTGTAGTTTGGTCGTGTGACTGTGGTTTGGTCGTGTGACTGTGGTTTGGTCGTGTGACTGTGGTTTGGTCGTGTGACTGTGGTTTGGTCGTGTGACTGTAGTTTGGTCGTGTGACTGTAGTTTGGTCGTGTGACTGTAGTTTGGTCGTATGACTGTAGTTTGGTCGTGTAACTGTAGTTTGGTCGTGTGACTGTAGTTTGGTCGTGTAACTGTAGTTTGGTCGTGTGACTGTAGTTTGGTCATGTGACTGTAGTTTGGTCGTGTGACTGTAGTTTGGTCATGTGACTGTAGTTTGGTCATGTGACTGTAGTTTGGTCGTGTGACTGTAGTTTGGTCATGTGACTGTAGTTTGGTCGTGTGACTGTAGTTTGGTCGTGTGACTGTAGTTTGGTCATGTGACTGTAGTTTGGTCGTGTGACTGTAGTTTGGTCTTTGGTCGTGTGACTGTAGTTTGTTCGTGTGACTGTAGTTTGTTCGTGTGACTGTAGTTTGGTCGTGTGACTAGTTTGGTCGTGTGACTGTAGTTTGGTCGTGTGACTGTAGTTTGGTCATGTGACTGTAGTTTGGTCTTTGGTCGTGTGACTGTAGTTTGTTCGTGTGACTGTAGTTTGGTCGTGTGACTGTAGTTTTGTCGTGTGACTGTAGTTTGGTCGTGTGACTGTAGTTTGGTCGTGTGACTGTAGTTTGGTCGTGTAACTGTAGTTTGGTCGTGTGACTGTAGTTTGGTCGTGTAACTGTAGTTTGGTCGTGTGACTGTAGTTTGGTCGTGTGACTGTAGTTTGGTCGTGTGACTGTAGTTTGGTCGTGTAACTGTAGTTTGGTCGTGTGACTGTAGTTTGGTCGTGTGACTGTAGTTTGGTCGTGTGACTGTAGTTTGGTCGTGTGACTGTGGTTTGGTCGTGTGACTGTGGTTTGGTCGTGTGACTGTAGTTTGGTCTTTGGTCGTGTGACTGTAGTTTGTTCGTGTGACTGTAGTTTGGTCGTGTGACTGTAGTTTGGTCGTGTGACTGTAGTTTGGTCGTGTGACTGTAGTTTGGTCGTGTAACTGTAGTTTGGTCGTGTGACTGTAGTTTGGTCGTGTGACTGTAGTTTGGTCGTGTGACTGTAGTTTGGTCGTGTGACTGTGGTTTGGTCGTGTGACTGTGGTTTGGTCGTGTGACTGTGGTTTGGTCGTGTGACTGTGGTTTGGTCGTGTGACTGTAGTTTGGTCGTGTGACTAGTTTGGTCGTGTGACTGTAGTTTGGTCGTGTGACTGTAGTTTGGTCGTGTGACTGTAGTTTGGTCGTCGTGTGACTGTAGTTTGGTTGTCGTGTGACTGTAGTTTGGTCGTCGTGTGACTGTAGTTTGGTCGTGTGACTGTAGTTTGGTCGTCGTGTGACTGTAGTTTGGTCGTCGTGTGACTGTAGTTTGGTCGTCGTGTGACTGTAGTTTGGTCGTCATGTGACTGTAGTTTGGTCGTCGTGTGACTGTAGTTTGGTCGTGTGACTGTAGTTTGGTCGTGTGACTGTAGATTGGTCGTGTGACTGTAGTTTGGTCGTGTGACTATAGTTTGGTTTTTTGACTGTAGTTTGGTCGTGTTACTGTAGTTTGGTCGTGTGACTGTAGTTTGGTCGTGTGACTGTAGTTTGGTCGTCGTGTGACTGTAGTTTGGTCGTGTGACTCCACGTCCTGCTCAGATCGGTGAATCCTGAATCATCCCTGATCTCTAGATGTTGTTTATTCTGCAGTTCAATTCGTCACTTTGTTTTGTTTCAACATTTTAAACCTGCAGCTTCAGTTTGAGTTCAGACGTTTTTAGACAGATGTTTTCTCCTGCTGCATGATGGGAAATAAATGTGAGCTGTTTGTTTGTTCATCAGGTCACCACAGAAGCCACAGACATCGGAGCCACTCCAAAACCCCGGAGCGGTGAGTCCGGATCGCTTGCAGCAGATTTAAATCTGAATTTACCAACAAAAATCATTTTCATGTGGCAGCAGAAACTCCTGCTTGACATCTTCTGGGGTAAAAACGTCCCACTGGTTCCCATTAAACCAGTGGGGTTAAACTGCTGTTCCAGTTTAAAGCATTAGCACTGATATTTCATATTTCATATAAAATTAAAGCGGTTAAATGTTTGTCAGGGTTTCCTGTGTTTGTGTGGATTTACGCCTGAGTTTATCCATTAAAATCAGTAAAATCCTGATTTCTGTTCCTGGTTCTGTTGGACTGAAGGTTCTGTTTGCTTTATTCTCACAGAAGCTCCAAAAAGAGCCACAAGAAGAGCCGGAGAGGAAACGACTGACCTCCGTCCCTCTGGACGTTTTTTACTCCACACACAAACTCTTCCTTTCAATCTTTTTCATTTTTTATTTTTTATTTTTATTCCAGCAGTTTCAGGTTCTGATAATCTGGATCCCTGATGGTTCTGGAAACAAAACAATATTCTCAGATGCTTTGGGCGCCTCAGATAAAACTGTAAATAATGAAATGTTGTTGTTTTGTTTTGTTTGAGTTTCTGAACAATGAAAACATCCCAGAAATAAAAACCTTGATATTAGATGATTTTTATGCTGTGAGAAAATTAATGGGAAGTTTTCAGGTGAAATAAAACAAATCTTGGAAAATCTGATGGATGTGATACGGTTAGCGTCGCCTTTAAGGCAGAGCTCAATTTTTACAAATGTTTACAAAATATAGTTTAATTTAATCCTGTTTGTGTTTTCATTTATGAATACAACATTCAGTTGAATTAATTTCTGTTGGGATAAAAATATTCTGTGAACTTTGCTGATTTTATTTTATTGCAAGAGATCAAACACAGATTCTTTTAAGTTTTTTATTTGTGCCATTTTATTAACACATGAACTGAATGAAGTAAATCTGTTCTTGGTTACATGAAGCAGAGATGATGAACCTTGAGCTTTAAAACATTTCACTAACGTTGGGACATCAGAACCTGGTGAAAAACCTCAAAATGAAACGTCTCATCCAGAAATCCATCAGCGTGAAACGTTTCCAACCTTCATTTCTGCTAATCTGAGAACCAAACTGTGTCAGAATACTAGCATTAGCATTGTACCTAAAGCTACGCTGATTGGTGCAAAGTTCAAATTTATCCAAGTAATTAGTCATCTGACAGCAAAACACCAGTAATAACATTTAAGCACAATTAGATATAAATTCAGGAATTATGGGATTAGAAGCAGAACATTATTCAGAAGGATCATTGGATCTGGTCTGTGAAAGTGGCTTTCACACAGTCTGGACACCTTCCAGGTTTTCCAGAAACTCCCGGATCTCTGAGCACATTCTGGACCGTCCGCGGTCTCGGATCTTCTCCAGCGCCTTGATGCTGTTCATCCGGGAGAAAGAGTCGTGGTTAATGGCTGCAGCCTTCATGTGATACTCGACGGACCTGTTCCTTTCCTGCCGGTCGAAGTGGAGGTACTAGGCGTAGCAGTTGTAAACTTGCTGTTGGTCTGCAGGATCCACAGATTTCTGCAGCAACTCCTTGTAGATCTGATCTGGTTTCATCAGCCCGCGACCGGACTTGGCCCACACACTTGCAAAGTCCAACTTCTTGTTTAAGCAAGACTCAGGGTAGCAAGAGATGACGTCCTCCAACAAGCTGATTGCTCGGTCAAAGGTTCTTTGACTCGGGCGTCTGTCTCTGGAAAAAACAATCTTCCATTTGTAGGCAAGAGCAGCACATCTCTTCAGGTACCGGGAACCTGGATCCTTCGTCAGGGCCCTTTCCACCACGTCGATCACATCGTCGTAGGATTCGATTTGTCTGTAGGTCCTCAGGAGGGGTTTGATGCCACTGTAGCAGCTGACAGGGTTCAGTAAAATCTTCTCGGACAACTCCTGTGCTTCCTCTTCAACTCGCTCGCCTCTCTTGGCTTGTTGTTTCAGGTCCACAGCGGCGAGGTACAAGTTTTCTGGATCTTCTTCTCTAGCTACCCTTAGGTCCTCCCAGATGCCAGGCTCTGGCTCCACCTCACTGTGCTTGAAGGTGCTCAGCAGCCCGATCATCCAGCTGCTCCGCCACTCCACGGTGTCCGGCTGCATCCGGATGGCTCTCTGGAAGAGCTCTAAAGCCTGCTGCTTCTTCTCTTTATCAAACTTCATCAGGGTCCAGGCCTTCTCAGCCAAGACCTCTGGGTGGCGCTCTCCCTTCTTCTTCCTCATCAGACCGTCGACCTTTGACAGGAAGTCTTCACTCCTCTCATCTTCTCCCAGGTGATGGTGCAGCCAGGCCCGATTCCCAAAGTTCACCATCAGCCAGGGACCTTCATCAGCGTTTCTCTGCCTCTGGAAGGTCTCAGCGGCCCGGTTGAAGAGGTCCAGGGCGTCTTTACTAGAGCCCAGCTGGTACTGGACGAAGCCCAGCAGGTTGTAGATGTGACCCAGCCAGACGTTTCCCTCATCGGTACCGATGTCCTCCAGCTTATCCCTGATACGGAACAGTTTGCCCCTGCTGGGGTCCAGATCCCAGGTGAAGTGGCAATCCAGGGCCTTCAGTCTGGACTGCAGACTCTGAGCAGAACTGAAAAAAATTACAAAAACAAATATTAATGAAGTTAAAGAGCTTTAGACAGTGTAATTGAAAATAAAACACGTATTGTTCGTGCTTTCCACTAATTTTACATTTCTCTATTCCTGCTCCTGCACTTTCTTCTTTTATCTGATTTTCTCTGCCCAGAGCGACACTGAATGTCACACATCTATTATCTACACACACATCTATTATCTACACACATCTATTATCTACACACATCTATTATCTACACACATCTATTATCTACACACATCTATTATCTACACACATCTATTATCTACACACATCTATTATCTACACACATCTATAATCTACACACATCTATTATCTACACACATCTATTATCTACACATCTATTATCTACACACATCTATTATCTACACACATCTATTATCTACACACATCTATTATCTACACACATCTATAATCTACACACATCTATTATCTACACACATCTATTATCTACACACATCTATTATCTACACACATCTATTATCTACACACATCTATTATCTACACACATCTATAATCTACACACATCTATTATCTACACACATCTATTATCTACACACATCTATTATCTACACACATCTATTATCTACACACACATCTATAATCTACACATCTATTACACACACATCTATTATCTACACACATCTATAATCTACACACATCTATTATCTACACACATCTATTATCTACACACATCTATTATCTACACACATCTATTATCTACACACATCTATTATCTACACACATCTATTATCTACACACATCTATTATCTACACACATCTATTATCTACACACATCTATTATCTACACACACATCTATTATCTACACACATCTATTATCTACACACGTGTTCATTACAAATCCTAAAGTCCAAAATCATTCTTAGGTGATGAGGTTTTATTCTGCTCAGTTCTTGTTTTAGGGTTTCTTGTCACTTCAAATCCAAATAAGCTGCTAATGGCAACATTTAGGAAAAGCAGCCATTGTAGAGCATCTACAGCAGTAAAACCAGCTGACCAAATGTACTGGAGCTCACTTTGAGTTGCTAGGTGACGGGCGGAGCTCTTGTGTGGTTGCTAGGTGACGGGCGGATCTCTTGTGTGGTTGCTAGGTGACGGGCGGATCTCTTGTGTGGTTGCTAGGTGACGGGCGGAGGTTTCCTGTGGTTGCTAGGTGACGGGCGGAGGTTTCCTGTGGTTGCTAGGTGACGGGCGGAGGTTTCCTGTGGTTGCTAGGTGACGGGCGGATCTCTTGTGTGGTTGCTAGGTGCAGTTCCAACCAAATGTGACGTAACATTTTGGAGGGTTTTGAACAGGCTAATTTTCCAAGCATGAGAAAACAGATGAATGTTCTTGAAAGTTTTTTTAGAAGCACTAGTGACACAAATGTATCAAAACATACAAAATGTGAAATTTGCCTTGTAGGACCTTTTAGAAGAACTTTGATTTAAACATTAAAAACTACACCACCAATAAATGACGACATGCTGCAGGAGGCGTCTCTGCTGTGAAGATTTATGAACTATTTCCTAATAAACAGGTTTATGTGTAAACAGTAAAGAAACCCCTGATGCTGTTAGGCTCCTGGTTTCACATGGTTTTAGTTATAATCTTCTAAGACAATGTATTTCTATATTTCGCTTTGGTAAAAAAATAACAATAATAAAATGAATGTTTCCTTATTGTTTCTCCATCTGAAACGATAAAGAATTTATATTTCTCCCCTATCTTGGAGTAATATAAATACAAACAGAAATTACTGGTTAACATGTGAAGTTATGGTCATTAACTTCATCACTCACCTCATTTTCCAGCTGTTTTCTCTGGGATCTGCAGGTTTTAGTCTCTAATGCAGGTTTTAGTCTCTTCTCCAGGTTTTAGTCTCTAATGCAGGTTTTAGTCTCTTCTCCAGGTTTCAGTCTCTTCTCCAGGTTTCAGTCTCTTCTCCAGGTTTCAGTCTCTTCTCCAGGTTTTAGTCTCTTCTCCAGGTTTCAGTCTCTTCTCCAGGTTTCAGTCTCTTCTCCAGGTTTCAGTCTCTTTGTGAGCAGGGTCTGCGGGATTGTGAACAGTGTTTTATTAGACATTTTTTTTAAAAAAAGGGAAAAGATGATGATGCCCATTTATCCTGGTGCCCCATGGATTCCTAAATTTGTAGGGCAAAATGAAGATGTTAAATATAACGAATGGAAGGAGCAAATACAAGGTCTTTTAGATGCAAATGATTTGCCTGAATCGCATAAGGTAAAAATTTTGATTGGTGCCTTGTCTGGGTTGCCCAGACGCCAAATTAATGTGCTCTGTGATGATGAACGTGATAGGGTGACAAAAATATTTTCAGTTTTGGATGACTTGTATACAAAGAAGGTTCCTGTGTCTGCTTTACGATCACAATTTTTTGGTTGTGTGCAGAAACCAGGTGAGTCCGTTCAGGCATACGGACTCCGGTTGAGAGAGCTGTACCGTAAACTACAGAAACACAATGCAACTGAAGCACCCACTGATATTCACCTTAGGGACCAATTCCTGCTTGGCCTGGAGGATGGCGCCATGCTTCAGCTGCTAAAGCGAGTTGTGCGCCTAGACCCTGATGCGACCTTCAGCGCTGTTCAACAAGAGGCTCTTCTATTAGAAGAGGAACAAAGTCCAAGATGGCCTGAAGCGACATGCCGCGGTAAGGGACCCTAACACTGTTCGATCTCAACAGAGTGATGTGTGGAAACAGGAGCGGCAGACGGCTCGGACTGGCTTCAGGCGTTGGCTACAGGAGGGACCGGCCCTGAGGACTGCTAATCTGGTCGCGGCAGAGGAGCGGGCGGCCGGCTAAGGAAGTGGGACTGCTGGGCTGAGAACCGGAGATCAAGCTGGACGTACAGAAGCAGTAAGGACCGTGTTCCCCTGAACGGAGCCGTTGGCTAGCGCTCACTGAGGTTCGTGTGACTGGAGGATTGTTTGGACCGGGCTGGACGTGTGAGCAGCAGCGGACCGCGCCCCTTCCTTTTCCCCCTGTTGTGGGCCAGTTAAGACTTTTTTATATGGACTTGTATAATAATCCTTCTTCAGTAAATGTTTCCTTTTTAACTAGTTGTTTTTAAAATAAATTATTGTATCCCTTTTATCGGTTTGTTGCGCCTCTGTCCACAATCCTGCAGGTTATTTTGTATACAGAAAAATTGAGCCTCTCGGCCTTCACATCTTCTCCAGGTTTCAGTCTCTTCTCCAGGTTTTAGTCTCTTCTCCAGGTTTCAGTCTCTTCTCCAGGTTTCAGTCTCTTCTCCAGGTTTCAGTCTCTTCTCCAGGTTTCTCTGAGAGGCGCAGCTGCGGAATGATCGCACGGCGCTCGCGCTGAGGGTTATTGTAGGAATGACGTCACGCGACGGCGGGTGAGTCCAGAGAGCGACGTCGCTTCAGTCAGACGAACCTTAAGTTTCATTTTCCCGGGATTGAAACTTCAGAGCTGAAACGAAACTTTGGGCCAGAAATCCAACATGGCGGCTGGACGTTTTGATTATTGCTTTATGAATCAAACTAAACGGTTTAGTGAATTTAGTGCTGTTTAAATTTCTACCGGTTCTTTGCCTTATGTGGGCTGACATTTCATTTAATGAAGCTGAATTTCGCACAGAGCTGATCTCATGTCTGTTTCCTCATATTTCAGTTTTTAGTCTCAGAAATTGTCTGGAATTTTGAATTGAATTTGGCGCCTGCACATTGCGCGTTAACTAACGGCCGCTGCGCCGCTGATGCTGCGGTTCGATAATAAAACGCCTATTTTTCAAACAAAGCCTGAAAAGTTATTTGCCATAAAATTTCATGATAATATCTCTCCTGTAATTTCGGCTTGGATCATATTTACTTTACTGATTTCACTTTGAGGCAGAATGTTTTTTTCTGCAGCGGACTCCGCTGCGCAGTTACGCAGTTTACGTACGTAACCGTACGTCAGAGCACTTCCTGGTTGCTGCTGCAGCTGGAAATGGCGGAGCTGAAAGAGGCGGACGCTCCTCAGCAGCACCAGGAGGACGAAGGCATCAAACGTGAGTAAAACTGCGCCACTTTACCATTTTGCGCTCATTTTGCGGAGAAAAAGCGCGTTTTAAATGACCGCGTTGGAGGCTGCTTCTGCTGCGTGGTGAATTTTGGAGGAATCTGAGTTTTTAAGTGCGCAGCGGGACGAGGGCCTCAGCGCGGAGCTCCGCCACTGGGCCTAAACAGTCAACACAGCGGGAGGCTGGAGGCGCAGAGCTGGACGCCTGCAGCGGGTCTGCAGCTGCAGCGGCTTCCCCGGGATCAAACCAAATAGTACCATCATTATGAATATTTAATGCGCGGCGGAATCACCACGGAGTTGCGCTGCAGAGCCGCTGTGCAGAAAAGTGCGCATCTTTCCAGTTTACGCACAAAAACTTGACGTGACCAGAACTGGAGGAACTGATGCGAGAAAAAAAAATCTGTTTCCAAGTTTAATCCATATGTTGGTTGGTATGAAATTCTGATATCAAAACACAAAAATCAACGTTGTGCATTAATTATTACAATCTTAAGATATGAACAAACTTTTTATTGTATTTACTAACTTTATTTAGCTGCAGCAGCAACAAGTGGGGGAGGGGTTTGTTCATCTCTGTTTTCCTCTTATTGTTCAGTTTTAAACCATAAACTGTTAGACGTGATAGATGATAAAAACCTCAACATTCAGTCAGCTGAGCGTCTGTCAGAGTTTACTTTCAACATATAATCACCTGGTAATTATTTAGTTTTTATTTGAATTTTTCTCATCCGGCTGTGAAGGTGATGAAGACACCAGGGAGGAAGACTCTGCAGGTGCTGCAGTAGCTGCTGCAGGTGCTGCTGCAGGTGCTGTAGGTGCTGCTGCAGGTGCTGCAGGCACTGCAGAGCGGAGCGATGCTGCGGCTGACAGCGACTCCAAACCTTCCACCACCAGCTGCGGTAAGTCACCCAACCGTCTGGTTTCAGCGAGCGGCTGGGAACGCAGGACGTAACGACGTGTCGCGGTTTCCTCCTGCCTGCAGACAGACACATCTCCATCCAGACCAAACTGGAAGGACTGGAGATGCTGGTGGACCTTGATGGTGGTGAGTTCAGGTCCTCAGGAATTTCTCTGCTGTCTTCTTTTTATTCTTTATGGAGGAAAAAATATGGATAAAATATCAGAAGTTGATTAAGATTACATAGGAATCACATAAGGGGTTAAATTGAAAGTTTAATAGAAAAAGTGATGATAAAATAATGACTTTCAGGCTTTAACTCAGGAATTAAAGGGGCAATGTTGTGTGTTTTCCAGGGACTTGGTGAATCAAGTCACTATGTTACCTTCAGTTTTTATGAAAATGCTAAATATATCAAATATGACTTAAAAGAAATGTTATTTCCTGATTTAATGCCTTGAATTAGGCCTCCGTCTCTCATAAGGAGCTCAGCAGTTCCATCAGTTGTTTGCTATTTGCTGCTGGCTAGTCTGAAGGAGTTGAGTGGGGGAGGAGTTTTGCCTCGAAGGCGGGGCTTCGTCCGCCCAGGCCTTCAGCACAGCTAATGGTTGCCATGGAGATCAAAGGGTTTCTGAAACATGCATGAAAGAATAAAACAGTCCAGGTTTGTTTCTGATGAGAAAACCTTTCTGACATGATGGAAACCTGAAAAAACGAAATTTTACATGATACTGCCCCTTTAATGACGCTAATTTCTTCAAATCGAAACATATTCTACTAAATGCGGATGAAGAATCATTTGACTGCGGGTGGTTTGTCCGTTTCTGTCCAGCGGGTCGGAAGTCCTGCCCTCTGTGTCCTGAGGAGAAGTTTAAAGCGTGTTACAGCCACAAGCTGCGCCGCCACCTGCAGAACCTCCACTGGAAGGTCTATGTGGAGTTTAAAGGTAGGACAGCAGAGACGCGCATCCTGACAGCTTCAGCCTGATGCTGACCTTTGACCTCCGTCTCCCTGCAGGAAGCAGGATGTGCATCTGTCACCTGGCCTGCAGGAACCCCAAACCCAGCCTGAGCGGAGATCAGGTGAGGATGATTTCCATTGCTAATCACTGCAGGGTTTGAATTAATCAATTGCAATTCATTTCATTTTAATAAGTCACATTTTCCATTCAAAAACCATTTTGCTGCTAAATTATTCAGCTCTTCGGCCTTCAGACTGGAGAAAATGTTTCAGGAAGTTGCAGAGAATGTCTGCAGACTGAAGGTTACATAAAAGCCGCCCAGCAAACAGAAGCATGTTGTTTTTTATCTGTATCATAACAAACTTTCAGAGAAAAGTGATCCTGTACGCTGATGACACAGCGATCAGCAGAAAAACACAACGTAAATAAAAAATGCCGCCAGACTTTGAGAAGTTCCTGAAGCGGACTCGGTTCTGTCCGTCCTCCAGGCGTCGGGTCGACACATGGCCCACTTCCACTGCGTGGTGTGTTCGGTCACCATCGCCCGGAAGACGGACATGATCAGCCACCTGAAGCGCCACTTCAACAAGGGAGAGACGGAGGCCAGCTACCCCGGCGGCTCCGACGCTCAGCTGGACGAGCCCGGTGAGCGCCGCCGCCGCCGCGAGTCCGACGGGGCCGGACGCTCCACTCACGATCCGCTTGTCATCCACAGCGCCTTCGGGTCAGGCCTACGAGATCCTGAAGGAGCTGGGGACCAACGTCCAGCTGCTGCCGAACCACAGCACCCCGCTGAAGAGCGACACGTACTTCAACCGCAAGATGAAGACCAACAGGTGGAGACGCTGCGTCTGTTAGTGAGTGAACACCGAGGCTGAAGCTGAAGCTGAAGCTGCGTGTTTGTGCTGCAGGCAGCTGGTGTTCTGTTCGCTGGCGGTTCTGGCCGAGGAGAGGAACCCGCTGGAGTGTCTGGATGCTTTCGGAGCCACAGGTGAGACCAGATGAAACTGGACAGAGACCAGCAGACTGATGGATTAACAGATTTCACAAACACTACTTTACATTTACAACCTGAAATGAAACTGTTAGTTACTAAACGCCTGATTGAATGAACTGCTTCCTGCTCAGGATCGAGCTGCCGTCCTGGAACCAAAACTTTGGCCTTTCATCCTGAGAAACTGAAGATTTTTCCTGCAGACATGAATCTTCAGCTCATCTAATGATTCCTGCTGTTTTTCTTTCTACTCATTTCTTCAGATTTTCGTAGAATGAGCGCCTCTTATCCATTATTATTTTCAAACACAACAGTAAATCCCTGCAGTACCTTGCGGACCAACAGGGGGCGCCTGCAGCAAACTGCCTGACAGAAAATCAAAAACTGTTTTCAAATGATTGTTTTATTAATTAAAGGAAAATGAATCTTCCAAACCAAACTGAGCTCAGATGGGAAAAGTACCTGAATGAACTTTGGGTCGGAGTAACTGTGTGGGTTCTGCTGCTCCTCAGGCATCATGGGCCTCCAGTGGGCCAAACACCTGCGCAGCACCGTCAGAGTGACGATTACAGACATCAGCGACGCCTGCGTGAAAATGATCAGAGAGAACTGCGAGCTGAACGGCATCCGGGTCGACGGCGGCTCTCGAGGGCCTCGGGGCCCCGACAGGGCCGGCTGCGAGCCGGAGACGGCCCCCGTCGCCACGGTGGAGGTCGTCAAGATGGACGCCAATGTCATGATGCATCTGCGGCCGTTTGACTACATGTAGGTTGACCTTTAAACCTTTGAGCGTCTGATGTCAGACGTAAATGCTTCGACCTTTAACCTTCCAGCCACCTGGATCCTTTCGGCACGGCCGTGAACTACCTGGATGCTGCCTTCAGAAACATCCGGAACCTCGGCATCGTCTCGGTGACGTCCACCGACACGGGCTCGCTCTACGCCAAGTCGCCCAACGTCACGCTGCGCCACTACGGCTGCCACATCGTACGCACCGAGTACTACAAAGAGCTGGCCGCCCGCATGGTGGTCGCCACGGTAGCCAGGTACACGTTCTGAGTCAATACAGCATGTCGGTGTGGGCGGTGTCCCAGGGCGGCATCAGAAAGGGGCGGCAGAATAAAGTATCTTCTCTGAGTGGCTCTTGAACGCGTCTGCTGCTGCTTGCTTGAGTTGTGGAGTAAGTTTCCTGTTTCTGCTGTAAATTCAGATACTTGAATCTGATTGGTCGGAATGCGACAGGCGGCGCACCACTGCCGCATATTTATATTTCCAGGTTACAGAAATAGGCGTAGTGATTCGTGACATCATTTCTTTTCTGACTGTTTTTAATGGAGCCGTTCAGTGAATTGTTCCTGTGACGTCCTGCAGGGCGGCGGCGCGCTGCAACAAAGGCATCGAGGTTCTGCTGGCCGTGGCCGTCGAGCACTTTGTGCTGGTGGTGGTCAGAGTCCTCAGGGGCCCGACTCAAGCAGACGAGTCGGCCAAGAAACTCCGCAGGCTGGTCCACTGCCAGTGGTGTGAGGAGAGAGAGTTCCTGAAACTGGGCAACATGGTGGACGGTGAGCCGCGGTCAGACTGGGCGACTGAAGCTTCGGCTGTTGCTCCAAGTAGAGAATGATAGTTTTATCTCAGCTCAGTGAATGAGGAGGAACTAAACAATGCAAAAACCAAACAAATCAAGTCAACATAATAATAATAATAATAGTAATATAAGTGATAAGTTCCCTAAAATGGACCATGTTAATAGAAGCCAGCAGGCAGAGCTTGTGATTTGATTTGATCCCTGTTGGAGGAAACAGGAACAAACGTCTCTATTAGCATAGATCTACAAGCTTAGATTCTAAGATGATTTAACTTCACTTAACTTTTTTTAAAGCTCAGTTTTTGTTTCTAATTTTGCTTCATCTTAACCTAACTTCTTGGATTATGTTGGTTTAGCTTTGTTAAACTTTCTTAGCACATTGTCATTGTGTTGAAATTTATTTGATTTCAACACAATTATTGCTGCATTTGGAGGAAACTAACTTTTACCTGCAGGATAAATTCTGTTTTAACTCCTTTTCTTGCAGACACTGTTCCCTGTCACTGTCATGGAAGTCTGCCTGGAAAGACGGCGGTGCAGCTGGGCCCTCTGTGGTAAAAATCAGGAGCATAAATTAAAACTGGAAGCTTGTTTGTAAGTGTAACGCAGTGGGATGAGCGGCTGTGTTTGCAGGGCCGGCCCTCTCTTCAACACCGGCTTCCTGAGGAGGATGCTGTCTGCCGCCGTGCAGCACAGCATGGATGACATCCAGCCGCTCGTCAAAACGCTCATCTGCGAGTCCGAGTGCACCACGCTCAAGTCGCTGGTGCACGGGTCGTCGGCGCTCGGTAACCAGGGTAACCGCCTCGGCTCTGACGCCGCCCGGTGCACCTGCGGCATAAAACGCTGAATGTTGTGTTTGTGCTGCAGTGGAGTGTGGCGTCGTCATCAAGACGCTGCAGAGCGGAGAGGATGGAGGTCCAGCTGATCAGGCCGGTCAGTTTCTCTGCTTTTAGCTCCGTCTGCACAGAAAACAGCAGCAGTGGTTCGGTCTGTCCTGTAGGGGGCAGTGTGGGAGAATTCACTGCTAAATGTTTTCCTGCAAGTAAAAAGTTTCTGGGTTTTTACCAAAAGTCTTCATGGATGCTGTTATTTAGTGGAAACGTCTCCAATCATAACTCAAACTGTTGAACATTAATTGTTCAGTTTTAATTTTTTCAGTTTGAATCTTAAACTCAGTGAATAATAATAATAATCATGTAAATAATTTTTCTAACACATCACAGTGAATAAGTCATAACATCTGAACAGGATTGAGCTTCTATTTAAAATACTTCTAACAAAACAACAGATATTATTCCACATTTCTTTATACTTAAATCATAAACCTGGATAAGCTTGTCTGTCTCGTCTCCACCGGAGTGAAAAAACCTCCTCACTGTTTTTGTCTTTCGCTTCACATTGAACAGGAAAGTTCATCCAAACGAGGCGATTCTGTTTCTGCTGAGCTGAACTTTGGTTTTCTGCAAACGAAACAACTTGAAACAATCTGAGTCGTTCTCACAGTGCAGCATTGTTCTCTGCCTGGAGTCAATGTGTCTCTTACTGCAGCAACATTTCATCAACCCAGGGCTCAGATTTCCTCTGACGGTCTGCAGTCCTCCGACACGTAGAGCTCTTTCATCTAGAAAAGTTTCACATCTTCTCATTTAGAATCTATTTTTACTTTCTGCTTTGATCTTAGCTGAGATTTGCAGTTTCTTGCAGCTGCAGCGTCTTGATTGAACTGTTTAGTTCAGTTTGTCAAGCTGTGATTCTTCAGCCTGTTCAACAGTTTCATACTTAGATATGTTTTACTTTACCGATTTGTAATCATGAGCAGCAAATTCTACTTTACATATTTCATTTATTTATTAGAAGCACATTTTCTAAAACCGTAGGAAACAACCAGAACAAATAATTAGGAGGAAAACGTGAACATTGAATTCAACTTTATTGTCATTGCACTGTCACATGTACAAAGCAACGAAATGGAGTTTGCATCTATCCAGAAGTTCTATACAGGATATAAATATTTATAAACAGGTGTACAAAGATATAAACAGAGAAGTTTAATAAAATATTATCTTACAATAATTATCAGAAATTTGTAATAATTCATATAATTCATATATTCATGTCTGTTCTGTATAATGTGTTAAAGTACCAACAAATAAATGATCTTCCATTAATAAAATGATAATAAACTATAATAAAATAAGAAAAAAAACATTAAGTTGTGAATAATAACCATCAAGTCTTTGATATTTATTCTGTATAACGATCTATAAATTGTGTTTCTATAAATTCCTCATAATCTGAGTTATGGAACGAGTGAAACATATTAATAATAATGATATGATGATGATAATGATGATAATAATAATGATAGAAATAATGATAAAAATGATGATAATAATGATGATAATGATGCAGATGATGATATTCGTTTTCCTGCAGGCAAAAGGAAAAGCGGGGAGGATTGTGGGAACGTCATGAAGAAGCTGAGGCCTGATGCGTCTTTGGATCATCCGCCGTTCTACTACAGCATCCACCGGCACAGCATCCGCGGCATGAACATGCCCAAGTGAGTCCCTGGACGCGCCCGGAACCGACCCGGTCCGGCCCGGCTCAACGGCTCCGCTGCTCTGCCTTCGCAGGTTGAACAAGTTCCTGCAGTACCTGACGGAGGCCGGCTTCAGGGTGAGCCGGACCCACTTCGACCCGATTGGGGTCCGGACCGACGCCACGCTGCAGCAGTTCAAGTCCATCCTCAGCAAGTACAGCGTCCCGACCGGCACCAACACCGGCACCAACACCGGCACCAACACCGGCCAGAGTAACGAGAAGGCGGTCTGAGCCGGGCAGCGCCGCTCCTGAAAGACCCAAACCTGACCTAGACTCGAGCTGGTTCCAGCCTGACCCAACCCGGTCCTGACCTGGTCCCGACCCGGTTCCGACCCGGTTCCAACCCGGTCCCGACCCGACCCAGTTCTGACCCGGTTCTGACCTGGTCCCGACCCAGTTCTGACCCGACCCGGACCTGACCCGGTCCCGACCCAGTCCTGCCTGCTGGACTTTTATTAGAGCACAAACTGATGAGATTCTATTTAATTGACCCAAAATCTTTATTTTATCCTTTTTATCTTAATTTGTCTCTTTAATAAAAATCTTTCTGAAAATTATTTTTTGCTGCCGTTTTATATTTCAGTTAAAAACCAAATCTAATAAAATTCTGACAGATTTTTTCTCCAGCAATAAATTAAAAATTTCTTCACAGAAATGAATTTTGCCTGTTGAAATATTTTGATTTGCAGATAAATATTAGAAGTTTCATCACATTAATAATAATAACAGTCTGGATGCCTGAGCTCCTACATTTCCCACAATGCAACCTGCCTCTGTTAGGGAACCTGCTTTGTGGGTTAAAGTCTCTTCGAGGAATAACTTCAATCACTTTAATGTTATCAGGTTAATGGAAAATGTTAAATATTATCATTTATCACAATAATTATTGGGACAATTTATCGTCCAGTAAAATAATCGTGTCCGTAGAAACAGTTAAGTTTCAGGTTTTCCTCCATTCAACTCTAAGACTTTAAACTAACCAATCACAAGCTTCCAGACCCATGACATCATCAGCCGGGATTCCTGCTTTCAGTATGTAAACTTCTGGCCGAGGCGGATTATTTTATAATCTTTGTTTCTGGTTGTTGGATTTTATTTACATGAATAATTTAGATGATAAACTTGCGGTGAACATGAGGAACCTGCGGGACTGAGGAGGAGGAGGAGGAAGAGGAGGAAGATCAAGAGGAGGAGGAGCAGGAGGAGGAGCCTCCCTCCTCTTCCTCTCCGCGGAGCCGCTGATCCAGTTCGCACCTGTGGATCCAGCCGCAGCAGCTCCAGCCGCAGCAGCTCCAGCCGCAGCAGCATCATGGGGGTCTCCGCGTCCAGCCTGCTGGATGAAGCCAAATCCGCCTCCATCAGAGGTAAGACCTGGGGTCCGCGGACTCTCAGCGGGCGCAGGGGGACCTGGACTCAGAACAAAGTTCTGGTCTGCGCGGATCGGTGTAATCAGAGTACTGGATCACAGTAGTCCGATTACTTGCCGCTGGTTCTCTTCCTGAGGAACCGGCTCGGTTCTGGTTTTCCTGCTGCCTGAGCTGCGGGTCCCTGCGGGATGTGCGGCTCTGGGCGTGTCTGCGGTGACGGCTGGCTTTATGTGCAGATTACCTGAGCCGCAGGTGCAGGAAAAGCAGGTGTTCCGGTTCGGATCAGACTGGGTTTGCTGGGAGAATCTCAGCCGCAGTTCGGAGGCTCTGGCGGTTCTGCTGCAGAGAAATAATTTGACCCAGTTCGTCAATCTTCTCTCGGTTCGGAGACTTTTTCTAACTTACTCAGTGAAAACAGAGAAGAGAAACAGAGGGAGGACTGGTTCTGGTTCTGGTCCTGGTTCTGGTCCTGGTTCTGGTCCGGTTCTGGTTCTGGTCCTGGTCCGGTTCTGGTTCTGGTCCTGGTCCGGTTCTGGTTCTGGTTCTGGTTCTGGACCTGGTCTGGTTCTGGTCCTGGTCCGGTTCTGGTTCTGGTTCTGGACCTGGTCTGGTTTTGGTCCTGGTCCGGTTCTGGTTCTGGTTCTGGTTCTGGTCTGGTTCTGGTTCTGGTTCTGGTTCTTGTTCTGGTTCTGGTCTGGTTCTGGTTCTGGTTCTGGACCTGGTCTGGTTCTGGTTTTGGTTCTGGTTCTGGTCTGGTTCTGGTTCTGGACCTGGTCTGGTTTTGGTCCTGGTCCGGTTCTGGTTCTGGTTCTGGACCTGGTCTGGTTTTGGTCCTGGTCCGGTTCTGGTTCTGGTTCTGGTCCTGGTCTGGTTCTGGTTCTGGTTCTGGTCTGGTTCTGGTTCTGGACCTGCAGCCATCAGGATGAAAATCCAACTTGAAATCTTGAAAAACTTCATTTATTTCATAAAAAGCCAATTTAAAAGGAAATTCCAGTTTTCTCTGAAATGTTTCCAATGATAAAGAATAAAATTATTTCATAAACAAACTGGAATCAACAGTCAGGCGTCACAACAACCAGAGGAAACGACCCGACTTCCTGTTTTCTATGACGCCGCCATGTTGAATCCATCCTCCCAGGAGGGCGGGGCTTGTCTCTCGGCCTGTTCTGATTGGCTGATCGATGGGATATCTGGGATTTCACTTTCATTTCCTGTTTCATGGAAACGCCAGACTTGTGACGTTTTAACACATTTGTAACGAAAAGCAGCCGATGAGATTCTGCGGAGCGTCTGTCCAGATGAAGCCGTCGGTTCTGAGGCTGGAGGACGACCAGCTATCAATAAATGTAAATATTTATTGATCTTGCTGCGGTTCCAGACTCAGGCGGGTTCTTCATGAATCCGCTGAGCCTCAAACCGAACGGCTCTCAGGAAGCGAAGCGTTGAGGTTCTCATAAAGCCTCATGGACGCCGGGAACTTCCTGATGTTTTCATGCAAGATTTCGTCGGCCCTCCACACTTTGGAGATCTTGAGCCTCATGTTGACAAACCGGTTCCAGGTGTGATCACATGTTCTGGTTTCAGGTTCCACATGGAGCTCAGCACAAGAAACCTTTCTTTGGTTTTGGTTGCTACGCTAAACGGTCTAGTCCAAACATGACCTGGATATAAAACACCAGATTTTATCTCAACTCTGCTGGATTCTTGTTTCTCACTTCCTGCTGCCTGATGAGGAAGAATTAGAGCATTTCTGGATCATCATCATCATCATTGTCATTTTTGCAACCAGATCTCATCAGATGCTATAAATGTTTGGATCTTGACTCCAGTAGTTTCACTGCTTCTGGTTCCGGTTCGGGTTCTGGTTCCGGTTCCGGTTCTGGTTCCGGTTCTGGTTCTGGTTCCGGTTCTGGTTCTGGTTCCGGTTCTGGTTCTGGTTCCAAACCTTTCAGTCTCTGTTTTACACCGGATCCAGTTTCATCATGTTTATGATGAAGCAGGGTTCTGTAGAACCTGGAGTCCAGTTTATTTCTATAAAACATTTCAGTAACAAAGCAGACACTCAACCAATATGTTGATCAATATTATTATTGATCGGCTGCATTTCAGTCCAGATTTAAAGGAACTCTGTGTTTCGACAGTTTCTCAGTTTTCTGGAAGTTTGTTCCAGATTCGTGTCGCATAGAAGCTGAAAGCTGCAGATCTTTAATACATACGTTTATGTCAAACCTCTAAGAAACTCAGTCGATCATAACAGACAGAAGCTCATTTCAGTTCATGATGTCATTTCTCACATATTTGGGTTTTTTGCTGCTTTATGATTTTTTTTTTACCTGATCCCCAAATATTCAAATCAGCCAATTTTTCCAGAAAAAAGTTTTTACAGTGTAGTCGCTGCTTTTCTGTTCTCACTTAAAACAATAACAACACAGAGGCGTTGATTCAGTTCAGCTTCCTGATCACTGATCACTGATCAGAAACTGATAATCTTCTGATGTTTAAGTAATTTGGTGGCAGATAATTCAGGTTAATTTACACGTTGAGCTGATTTATAAATCTATTGATGAATTTATGAATCTATTCTCCTCATGTATGCAGAAACTCAGTCAGAACCACATGTGCAGGTTCTGTTCTGGACTGAGACTCCAGAATCCCTGATTGTCTTTTTTTTTTATTCTTCTACATGGAAAAGTTTCATTTTACTGGATCGATCCATTTTTAACATTCATGTAAATCCAGAGATTTGCTCTAAAAGCTTCTTGGTGAAGCGAGGAGCTGCAGTCAGGAGTCTGAACTCCAGCAGCAGCTGCTGCTCCATCCTGGCGTTCCCGCTCCGCGTTTCCTCCCGTTCTCCCGCCAGCTGCCATTACGCCACCGCTCAGACATGCAGACGGAGGGGAAACCCAACGCTCCGGACTCGGCCCGACTCGAGTCCTCACCTCAGAGTGTGAGCGAAGCGTCGTAACGTTCCTCTGCCAGCTGCAGGAATGTTTGCAGAAATGCTGACAGGATTTTCAAACTTCACGTCTGACCGGCTCTGCTCCCGGCACCGCCTTGCTGGGCCGGCGCCAGACCTTTAGATTCCAGAAATATGTTTTAAAAATGATGTCAGAGCTGCAGAATCTGAGAGTTCTTGTTTCAGATGTTCTGGTCCAAACAGAAAAATGATCAGAAATGCTGAACTCCAGCATCCAGGTCAGGAGCTGGAACAATCCGGATCCTGATTTTCCTCATTTTTCAACATAAATATAAAAGTTATTGAATAATTTACAGCTGAAATGGAGATAATGGAGACTAGTGTTGCTTTTCCATTAAATCAGAAATCAAATGAAACTCAAATGAAACTCAAACACTCGTCTCTCCAGTGAAGTTCCTCTGACATCCAGGCCTGTGATCCCTGGTTTTCCTGCCGTTTTCCCTGTTTGGGAAGTTTCCCTGTGGATCGACGCCGTGGACGAACCGGTTCCCACTGTGGAAACTTTCCCTCTGTTTACATGTTGCCGTGTGTGGAAACGTGTGACATGTGGCGACTCGCCTGCAGCTGGAAATCCTTCATTCAGGTTCAGACTTTGTGACAAATGTTGATTCATAAGAAGCTGAGGAGTTTCACGTGTTCACGGATCAGGTTTAGACGGATCCAGTTCTACCAGAACCGGACCGGCTGTGTTTCTGGGTCGGAGCCTCTAATGGCTGCAGGTTTTCATCCAGGTTTGACTGTCGTGCTTTTATTTTGGCAGCAGGATGTGAGGTCAGCAGAGTGTTGCTATGGAAACGACAGACCCGCGTTCCGACACGCCGCTGGTTTGGGCCGGGCCGGTCCGACTGGCAGAGCGGCTCCCCGCTTCACATGATGATTCACATCCAGACTGAAACTCCACCAGAACCAGAGACATGGGCCGGCCCAGAACCGGGCCGGCTGGTTCCACACACCAGGAGGCGTATGTAAATATCTGAGCCCTTTCAGATCTGAAACGGTTTGAATAAGAGGTGAAGATGCTGGTCTTCATATCGCCTGGAGGAAACAATCCTGAGTTACTCTGGGGTCAAAGGTCACATGAAACCTGTCTGGGCACAGCAGCACAGCATCAGGTCTGCAGGTCAGAGGTTTTGGCTAACTGAGTCAGAACCTCTGACCTGCAGATTTATGCAGATTCATGCTGGATGAGAATTTTGCAGGAAAATTAAAACGATCTTTTGTTTTTATAAACATTTAATTCATTTTTAAAATGATTTCTGTTTCGAGGATTTCATGAGAAACAATCCAGAGTTTCTGAGGCTGGATTTTCTCTGAGTCCAGCCCGTCGGTCCAGAAGGTCCAGTTCGGTTGGTGAGGTGTGACCTCTGACCTCTGGTCCTCTAAACGTCGGTCTGGGTTCAGTTTTAATGTGAACACCAAGTGGACTGGAGACCTCGTCAAAAGCAGGAAGTGGACTACAGCGCAGTGGATTCTGGGTAACCTAAGCTAACATGCTAGCCTAGCGCTAGCAGCAGAAATGGCTCCTAGTCTTCAGCCAAAGACTAAAGAGAAATCACTAAACTCTGATGCCGCCATCTTGTTTCATCTGGTGAAACAGGAAGTTGCTCTCAGTGTCTTCAGAGGTTTTTGTGTCATCTCCTGCAGTGGTTGTTGGTGCAGCGCCCCCACAGGCCAGGAGGGGAACAGGCTGGTTGGACTCAGAGAAGCTGGAGGTGGAGCAGATGTTCTGGTTCCAGTAGAACCGGGTCGACCCAACTGAAGGTGGAAAATATCCTGAAAGGCTTAAAGGAAGCCCAACCTGTTAGTTGATGCTTCATTCACTGCTCTGACTGTCGGCTGCTTCGGTAACTGCCTCTGATCCAGATCGTTCCTCTTCTTCTCTGGACCCACAGCCCGTCTTTTCTGACCGAAACACCAAACTGATGTTTTTCCTCCTGCAGTGATTTGCTTTTTCCAGGCGATGGTCGTCTCTGCGGTTCTTTCCTCCATAAAGCGGCTCTGATGCTTTGTTTGCTCCACTTTATTTGCTTGGTCTGCAGCTCATTTGGATCTGATTAGTGTGTTAGTCAGCAGGCGGAGCAGACCGGCGGCTCATCGCTCATGAATGTGAACAACAGAAAATGAGCCAATTGTTTTCAGGAGTCTTTTTATTTTTCTCTTGTTGGACTAAAACTCTGATCTGCAGAAGTTTCTCAGTGTTTGAGTAGAAACAAAGTTTCAAAGTTCATCTCCAGATTCTTTCCTCCATTTTGGTTTTATGATGGAACCTGAAACAGAGAAGAAGAAACAAACTAGAGCTGCAGATGTTTTGCATGAACTACGTCGTCTCTATTCAAATTTCCTGTGAGGCTGAACTGAGTCCAGCTGGTCCAGCCTTAAACAGATGAGCTCACCAGAGCAGAGAGAGAGTGTGTGTGTGTGTGGTGTGTGTGTGTGTGTGTGTGTGTGGTGTGTTGTGTGTGTGTGGTGTGTGTGTGTGTGTGTGTGTGTGTGTGTGTTGTGTGTGTGTGTGACAGCAGCTGCAGAACTCATCAGGTCCGAAACCTGCTGCACGTTTTCTGCTTGCATGTGTCGGTCAGCAGGCAGAGGCCGACGGTCGCCAACGTCTTTGTATTTTCTACTTTTAACTTTCTATATTATTAATATTAAAATGAGAGATCCTGAAGTAAACATCAGTTTTTGTTAAACACCTGAGTTTGCTGTGTTTGGGGTCAGAGGTCGTTTTCCAGCTGAGCCTCCCGGATGTCCACGCCGTTCAGTCGGCAGCAAATCATCAGGAGCTTTAATGATCCGTATTGTTCAGAACCAAAGGAAGAAAACAAGGAGATTCAAAGTGCAGCTGCTGCTTGCAGAAAAAGCAGACTGGCCCTTTAAATATCATGATTTATACAGATGATTTTAAACAGTCTTCTGATCGATTATTGCTATTAAACAGCCAATATTTGCATCATTTCAAACCAGCAGGTCTGGATTTGTGATGAGCTTTTATTTCAAATCATTGATTATCATATTAGTTTTACATTTTGCTGCTTCCTGATTGGCTCTCTGGGTTCTCATTTTAACTGGGACCAGCTGTTTCCCACTGGGAGGCGGGACGCCGTGGGGAAACCCGACGATGATGGAGCCAAACATCTGCATGTTCATCCATGAAGATGAGGCTTAAAATGCCAGTTTCCTCCAACTGGAGCTGATGGTTCCCAGTGTAACCAGTTAGAGGCTCCAGCAGAGACGAACCAGCGGAAACAGATTCACTGCTTTAGTTTCAGCAGAATAAAATCTGAGGATTTTCTCTGAAATTTGCTGATCCAGGTGATGAACTGGATCAGAAACATCATCATAATCAAATCAATAATCATAATAGTATCTGATTAGTGACTAAAAGGAAAATTATTAGTTTGTCACATTTCAGTATCAAGTCAAATGAAACAACTATTTCAATTTGATGAGTGGCATCATCACAACGATCAATACATGATCGTTGATCAATACATGATCCAATATATTGGTTAATGTTCCATTATTATGGTTCAACTTAATGGCTATAAATCAATAAATTAATCCATAAATGATATTTATTTATGTCAGCAGATTTTTCTGATCATCTTCAGTCAGTGGATTTTCTTGATTTGGATCTAATAACGTTTCATTGTTTCTCCGACTCGACCCGGATCCGTCCGGATCAGTCCGGATCCGTCTGGATCCGTCCGGATCAGTCCGGTTCCGTCTGGATCCGGGTCGAGTCGGATCTGTTCGTCCTCCATCAGCCGCCTGACCGCCATGTTTGTTTCTTCTTCTTGTGTCCGTTCTGTGGTTCAGGCCAGGCGCAGGCCGAGCTCCAGGACTTCGCTCCGTACTACAGGAAGCAGTTCTCGGTGGCCCGGTTCGCCCAGGTGGAGGAAGAACTGAAGCAGAACAAACAGCTGATCACTCAGCTGCTCAAGCAGAAGGTGAGGATGCGTCGACATGGAGACCGCCGCCACTCAGACGGTCGCTGATGGATGTTGATGGGAAGCGGGTCGATGAATAAATGAATAAATTATCAGGCAGGATAAGGGCTGGCCTTTGACTAGGCCACTGTAACGTATTGATTCCAGCTGTGTTGTTTGGGTGACTGAAGTTGGGCGGATTCACTATCAAAGCAAAACAAGCCCAGGTCATCACATGACCTTATGACCTTTCCTAGAGTCACATAAAACCTGATTTTAATATCTATATAAAATCAGGTTTAAATGCTGGTATTTAAATCTAACATAATAATTTCCATATTCTATATAGTCCTTAGATATTATATTATGTTTATTTTGTTCCCATGTTTCCTGTTTGAAAAGAAAGAGAACAGGAAACAGAATTGCTCAGAAAATACTCTCCCTTCAAAATAAGAGCATGAATATCTAACTCCTTGAATTCTTAGCAGTTGATAACAAAAAGCCTCATTTCATTCAACTGGAAGTTTACAAAACAAAATTAGTGCTAATGAATTCATACAGACATATGAGCTTAGGAGAAGCTAAGTGCGCTAAGCGTTTTCAAAGTTAGCATCGTCTTCATGGCTTCAGTTCCTCTTTGACTGTTTCTACCAACAGGAGGCGCCAGAGGAAGCCATCGCCCTCTATGAAGACGCCGTGTGGTACTTTGACGACAACAGGAAGTGGAGGGAGCGGTTCGTTGTGGTGAGAGCTAACTACTGCCTGGAGTGTCATGAAAGCCTGCAGGTGAGTGAAAAACTGCTCTGGTACCAACATGCTGCGCCAGGAGGTTCTGTTCATAACCCGGTTCTGGTTCTGCTGTCAGTCTTATGTTAAAGGAGCCAACGCGTTATACAAGCTGCTGCCTACAGGGGGCACTGTTCTGACCACAGAGGACAAGTACATGGAGATGGTGGACAAATGCTACCCTGATGACAGCAGTGAGTAGAAACACTCATCAGATGCTGCTGTTTGTTCAGGTTTCTCTGTTCCCCCATTTGGGTCCCATATTTATGCTGTTCCTTTAGCTTCAGCTATTCCTTTAGCTTCAGCTATTCCTTTAGCTTCAGCTATTCCTTTAGCTTCAGCTATTCCTTTAGCTTCAGCTATTCCTTTAGCTTCAGCTATTCCTTCAGCTTCAGCTATTCCTTTAGCTTCAGCTATTCCTTTAGCTTCAGCTATTCCTTCAGCTTCAGCTATTCCTTTAGCTTCAGCTATTCCTTTAGCTTCAGCTATTCCTTTAGCTACAGCTATTCCTTTAGCTTCAGCTATTCCTTCAGCTTCAGCTATTCCTTTAGCTTCAGCTATTTCTTCAGCTTCAGCTATTCCTTTAGCTTCAGCTATTCCTTCAGCTTCAGCTATTCCTTTAGCTTCAGCTATTCCTTTAGCTTCAGCTATTCCTTCAGCTTCAGCTATTCCTTTAGCTTCAGCTATTCCTTCAGCTTCAGCTATTCCTTTAGCTACAGCTATTCCTTTAGCTTCAGCTATTCCTTCAGCTTCAGCTATTCCTTCAGCTTCAGCTATTCCTTTAGCTTCAGCTATTCCTTCAGCTTCAGCTATTCCTTTAGCTTCAGCTATTCCTTCAGCTTCAGCTATTCCTTTAGCTTCAGCTATTCCTTCAGCTTCAGCTATTCCTTTAGCTTCAGCTATTCCTTCAGCTTCAGCTATTCCTTTAGCTTCAGCTATTCCTTTAGCTTCAGCTATTCCTTCAGCTTCAGCTATTCCTTCAGCTTCAGCTATTCCTTTAGCTTCAGCTATTCCTTCAGCTTCAGCTATTCCTTCAGCTTCAGCTATTCCTTTAGCTGAAGCTATTCTTTAGCTTCAGCTTTCCTTCAGCTTCAGCTATTCCTTCAGCTTCAGCTATTCCTTTAGCTTCAGCTATTCCTTTAGCTTCAGCTATTCCTTTAGCTTCAGCTATTCCTTCAGCTTCAGCTATTCCTTTAGCTTCAGCTATTCCTTTAGCTTCAGCTTTTCCTTCAGCTTCAGCTATTCATTCAGCTTCAGCTATTCCTTTAGCTTCAGCTATTTCTTTAGCTTCAGCTATTCCTTCAGCTTCAGCTATTCCTTTAGCTTCAGCTATTCCTTCAGCTTCAGCTATTCCTTCAGCTTCAGCTATTCCTTCAGCTTCAGCTATTCCTTCAGCTTCAGCTATCCTTTAGCTTCAGCTATTCCTTTAGCTTCAGCTATTCCTTTAGCTTCAGCTATTCCTTCAGCTTCAGCTATTCCTTTAGCTTCAGCTATTCCTTCAGCTTCAGCTATTCCTTCAGCTTCAGCTATTCCTTTAGCTGAAGCTATTCCTTCAGCTTGGTGGCCATTAGTCATTAGCTTGGAGTTTTACAGTTTAGAGTCTGGTCTGATGGAGACCAGATTCTAAACTGACCAAGCGCGAAGAGAAGTTTTGAATACAATCATTACAAGTTTTGAGAAGAAAGATATCCATACCTGCTTTCAGACGGAAAATGTTTGCTCTTGAATTGTGGCAGGAAAATTGCTCCATATGTGTTCAGCTGCAGCAAACTCTGGTTCAGTTTGAATGTGAACAGCAAGTTCAATTACTCCTGCTTCAAAAGCAGGAAGTGAACCACAGCGCAGGGCATTCTGGGTAAATACAGCCAAAGCTAACATGCTAGCCTAGCGCTAGCAGCAGAAATGGCTCCTGGTCTTCAGCCAAAGACTAAAGAGAAATCACTAAACTCTGACGCCTCCATCTTGTTTCATCTGGTGAAACAGGAAGTTGCTCTCAGTGTCTTCAGAGGTTTTTGTGTCGTCTCCTGCAGTGTTGTTGGTGCAGCGCCCCCACAGGCCAGGAGGGGAACAGGCTGGCTTGGGTCAGAGCAGCTGGAGGTGGAGCAGATGTTCTGGTTCCAGTAGAACCAGGTCTACTTGGTCTTTACCCTAAAAATCTCATTTTGAGATCAACAGAAACCTGCAGACAAGATTTGATTGTTTGAGAACCTCAGATGAGCTGTGGTGTCCCTCAGGGGTGTTTTATGATAGCTCCTCCACTATCAGGATTATTTCTACGACACTCGGATGACAGACAGCCTTCGTTATTATTCCATTTTGAGACAATCTTCTTTGATTTGTTGGTAAATTATGAACCTTTTGACCCTTTAATCCTCAAATGATCAAATATTGAAGCTTTTTGGATTTCATTCTTGTCTCCATACCTTCCTCTCGATGAGATCAGTGCAGCTCCAGGTTTCTGCTCCAGCTTTCGGTTTTACTGAAAGCTGAAGTAGTTTGGAAACAGTTTAATGTGTTCTAACCTGCCTGGTTGACCTCTGACCCCCGCTGCTTCCTGATCCAGTCTCTGTGTTAAAGCCGACTCATTTCTCTGCAGGAATCGATGATGCAATAATTTCTGCTCTGAAAACGAACCGTCTCTGCTCAGCTTCAGGTTTCTGGAAAGTTTTGTTTTGAGTTTTTGCAGCTGATTTGGATGGAAGCAGTAACCAATCAGAGCTCCTGTTGCTCGTATCTGGAGGTCAATCTGGAGGTCAATCTGTAGCATCACTGAACCGAAAAACAAAGTTCGTTCTGTGGAAAAACAGAACTTGGTTTCCATTTTTTGCATATTTAATGTAAACATTGGTTCTAAATGGACGATGCAGGATGAACCATCAGGAATGATTTAACTTATGACATTTATTTATTACTATTATTATTATTATTATTATTATTATTATTATTATTACCATTTCGTCTTCCACTATTTTTTTTCCTTCCTCTACTTTCTCTCCAACTGTTTTTAGCAGCAGTATTTCTTCTTTATCATTTTTTCTCTGCTGCTTCCTGAAGGTCAGACAGTCGATCCTCCTATAAACACCAACAACAAATATGAGTCTGAAAGGTTATTAATCATCCTCTGAGTTAGAAACATTAAATAATCTGCTGCTGTAGTTTATAGGATCCAGACAGGAAACAGGAAGTGATGACACAGTTCTGTCTGAAGCCGGACCAATAGGAGGAGGTTTAGTTGGAGTCTCTGTTTGGTCCAACCTGGAGTTTTTCCTGCTGTTTCAGACGTGAAGGAGGAGTTCGCACCTCCTCTGCTGGGGATGCCGGGGGAATTCCCGGTTTACCTGCGCCTGCCCTACCGGAGGGATTCCTACTTCTGCTTCAAGCAGGAGGCCAAGCAGGCCGCCTTCATCTCCTTCCTGTCGGACTGCATCAAGCACCAGAACCAAGGTGGGAAACGCCGCTTCAGTCCTGCTGCTTCTCCCTGAGCAGGACGAGTTTAAACCTTCCTGACGATCACATGAGAATCAGACGTTTAGCTGCTGCACAGAAACCTTCAGCTGTGATGCTCAGCATCGCAGCTGAAGGTTAACTGGCTTCCCTGGTGCCATGGTGACAGGCTCACCTGAGCACCCGGGGAACCTTTAGATGATGCAGATCGCCGACGCCGATGAACGAGCCGACAGACTGATCCTGAACTCTGCTGCGTTTCCTCCAGACTTCCAGAAGAAGAAGACGTGTGAAGTCCAGGCGTTCCTGAAGGCCATCCAGCTGCTGCGTCAGGACCGGGGCCAGTACGAGGCCTGGGACATGCTGATCGGCAGCGACGTGCGGGTGGGTCTGCTGCGGCGCGGCGGCATCATGCCACGTCTTACTGTCGTTTATTAATCATACTTCTGGGCAAACAAAAATTCCCCCTGGAGTTCCTCAAGGTTTTGTTCTTGAAATGCTTTCATTCAACATCTATAAGCTTCCACTGACAATCAGAACCAAGCGGTTCTGATTCCACTGGCAGACAAAGGAAGAATATCAGATTATACATGAACTTTTGCATCAATATCAAGGATTTATTGACTGAAAACAAGCATCAAATTCTTGCTAAAAAGTCACTTTTATAAGTTAGTTTTGTCTGGTTATTAAGATATTTGCTCTCCAATCGAGACCAGACAGTTTATGAACATGAACTCTGTTCATATTCATAAATGATTCAGGACCAGAGGACCATCAGTGGGCCGGACTTCCTGCTGCTTTTCACAATAAAACCCCCAAAATGGAAACGGTGGAGATCAGGAGTGAAAGCCGGGTCAGGGAGGCAGAATCGGCTGACTCGGGTTGAAATGTTTCACGTCTCAACAGGAAACAGAAAATCTGCTGCGTCTTTTCGTTTTCAGCAGAAAGAGTCACATTCCTGCCAAAAACCCCGAGGAGCTCAGGAAGCAGTCAGAGCAGCAGAGTTATGAATCCAGACAGAAATGCCTCTGAACACAGGCGTTTCCATTTACTCCAGGTCTTTGAACGCAGCACGCTGCCTCTGCCTGCCTGGTTCTTCTGGGCGTTCAGGTGAATTTCATGAGATGAATTCGGCTTTGCTCTGAACTCAGCGTGCTGCGTTCAGGGTCAAACACTTCCTCCCTCATAAACACGCCTCATTGTTTGTGGCAGGAATGTGACTCCATACCAGCAGGACCATCCTGCTGAAAATCAGTCGGTTGTTCCAAAAGGTCACTGAAACCAGAACCAGAACCAGAACCAGGCAGCCTTTGGTTCTCTGGGTTCTGGAACAAACTGCCTGAAAACATCAGAACAGGAAACGTTCCTATTGGCTGCAGCTGACCAATAAAACCTGCTGCTTGGTTTTCTTACAGTTATGAAATTGGTTGCTCCTGTTTTCATCTGTTCTGGGTCTGCAGGAAGTTTTCAGCTTTGAGTCCCGGAGGAGAGCGGCTCTTTGTGGCGGCTCCCCTGCAGGCCCCGCCCACACGCCGCTCCATTGTGTGCTGCTGTTGTTTCAGGAAGCTGAGCTCAGCGTTAAGTCACGCTTCCTGTTGCTAATAAACCCGACAGCTCAGAGTTTCTGCCTCAGGCTCGGAGCTGAGTGATGACTGGGACGACTGGTCTTCACTCCACGCCTGCAGAGTCATGCATCCCATCTGAACACTGAACCATTGTTCAGAAAGTTTGCTACATTTTTAGCTGCATGCTTCAGTTATTTTTCCAGAAATGAAACAAACTGCTCCACAAAGGCAACAATCAGCTGACCGTCAGGCCGCCTTGGGGTCGTCGGGGTCAGGCGCGTCTGCTTCATCGTGGCGGTCCAGAGCCTCAGAACCTTCATCAGATCGCCGCCCCCATTTGGCGTCTGAGTACATTCTAGCTCTGCAGCTCTATGAACTGATGATGCAGCAACACAGGATGACCAGCAACCATTTGTTTGTTCAGAAGAGAAAATGTTTTGTTTTCAAAGACATTTGAAATGTCACCAGGGCAACATTTAGTTAGTTTGTAGTTGACTACTTAACTATTTAACTTATTTAACTAGCTAACTAAATATTTAGTGACATCAAAACTAGTATAACTAGTTAGTTGAACTAAACTAATATTTCTCTTTCTATGTTATCAACATAACATAATAATCTAATGTAGGGTTAAGGGTTAAAGGTTAGGGTAGGGTTAAGGGTTAAAGGTTAGGGTAGGGTTAAGGGTTAAAGGTTAGGGTAGGGTTAAGGGTTAAAGGTTAGGGTTGGGTTTGATCCTCCGGGTTCTGACGGCTGGACTGCGTTCTGCTTTCAGGTGATGGCCAACCTGGTGATGGAGAAGCTGCTGCCGTCTCTGGGGAACGACCTGCTGCCTCGCCTCAAAGCCAGGAAGACCGACAGGAAGAAGACGTGGTTCATCGTGAGTCCGATCAGAACCTTCAGAATTTCCTTCTAAAACTTGTAATGTGGGCCGGCGGTTGAAACGCTCCGACTCCTCTACCTGCCAGACGATGGAGGCGGCCTACATCCTGGTCCAGCAGCATCTGCTGGACGGCCTGACGGCGCTGAAGGAGGAGTGCAGGGAGTCCGTCCGGCAGCAGGAGGTTCTGATGCACTCCGACATGGACCAGATCCTCGACGCCCGGCGGCAGCTGGAGGAGAAGATCCGAGGTAACGAGCCGCCTGCAGCGCCAGGCTCAGAGCTTCAGCCGGTTCCGTTCTGACTCTTTTCTCCAGCCAAGGTCTCTGCGCCGGCGGAGCAGCTGTGCTCCGAGTCCGTCCAGCCCTACCTGGGCTCGGTTCTGGAGGAGCTGATGGAGCCGATCAGCTCCGGCTTCATGGACGGCCGGCAGCTGATGGAGGCCAAGATGGACGAGGTGTGCCAGGCCGTCCTGCAGGGAGCAGAGAACGACAAGCTGAAACAGGTCGGTTCCTCCTGCAGGTCTGGAACTGCCGGACCCCATCCGGTACCGACTCACTGTAGAACTTCACCTGTACAGGACTTGGATCTTCCAGGTTTCCTCTCCGCGTGATGAGAACCAGGCGACCAGGACGTTCATTTTTACTCAGACCTTCATGAACCGAACCGAACCGAGCCGAGCCGAGCCGAGTCGAACCGAACCGAGCCGAACTGAACCGAACCGAGCTGAACCGAACCGAGCCGAACCGAACCGAACCGAACCGAACCGAGCCGAACCGAACCGAATCGAGCCGAACTGAACCGAACCGAGCCGAACTGAACCGAATCGAGCCGAACTGAACCGAACCGAACCGAGTCGAACCGAACCGAGCCGAGCCGAACCGAATCGAACCGAGCCGAGCCGAGCCGAATCGAGCTTCTCCTGCCGCTGAACCTTCAGAAAACGTCCCTCTGAGCCTTAAACTTCAAAGTAACGTCTCCTCTAAAGTTTTCCAGAATGCAGACCGCTGGCAGCCTGACAGTCGGTGTCGTTTCATCGTTAATCGCTTGATGAGGGGAGAAAACGGCGATAATAAGGACGGGAAACTCTCTGTGTGTTCAAGTTAACTTCATTAAAATCATTACTAACCATGGAGACAATGCTCCACCATCATGGTTTACCATGTATAGAAACAAAACAGGTTCGCTTGGAGACTCTGAGTCTGGTCAGTGTTACCACAGAAACATCGGCTCATTTCAGTTCATTCAGTCATCACAGTGACTGAATGAATGATGAGTCAACAAACGCATCAGGAGGGAGGCGTTTCTGAGCTGCAACTGCTGTCTTTGGGTTCACTACGCACAAATCAGCTCAACTCCAACCAGCAGCTGCTAAACCGTCAAAAATAAGTTGGGAGAAAAGTTGAAGTCGCTCCATTGGACCAATCAGGGTGTTTCTGATCGACCACACAACTTTGGAGGAAATGATTGACGAGCTGCAACATGTAGTTGTACTGAGATGTTATCAAAGGAAGAAAGAAGGGAAGCTGTTGGAGACGTTTGGCTGCTGCATCGGACCAGAACCGAGTCAGGGATTAATATTGACTGACTTCCTTAAGGCCTTGAACTACTGCCTCTCAGATCCATGCTGCTGTCTGGCTGAATATCTTCTGATCTCACAGCTTTGACACTGAGAATCATTTGAGCACGTGTGCTGAGCCGTGCAGAGTCCCGGGTCTAAATCCGTCCTTCTGTTCTGCCTCAGGCTCTGGGTGAGATGGCGAGACCCAACCTGCTGGACTGCTGCCTGAAGATCAGCTCCCTGCAGGACAAACTGAAGCACCTGCAGGAGCGCTTCGGGTTCAGCACCATGACGGCGGTGACCCACGGCGCTCAGATCGACCTGCAGCAGGTGGAAGGCTGAGCTGCCAGGTTTTCCGGTTAGTTTTGCTGCTGCAGGTCTGACGGTTTCCTCGCTGCTTCCAGCTGATGGAGAACGCGGCGTACACTCTGGAGCTGATGCTGAAGAAAGCCCTGCAGGACAACCCGGACACGGCCGGCGCCGTCATGGACAAGGCCAAGCACAGGATCCTGAAGGTCAGTTAAGGTCACCGTCACTGTTTTCAGGCAGGTTCTGGTGTGGGCTTTGACTAGACCACTGCAACAGTTATTCATTTTCTGCTGATGACCCAGTTGGGTCAGAACTTCAGCTGTCGGACAGATGGACTCACATTTAGCTCTATAAAACATCCATGTGGCCTGATGACATTTGTGACTTTTCCTTTAGCATTGGAAGCAGCGAAGCTGGACTCAGCTGCAGCAGCAGCTGCTGCTGCAGCCGCTAAAAACTAAAACTGTTAAACTCTGAGTTGTTCTGAAGGCAGGATGCTTCATGAAGCTGCTGATCTGACTGACGGGTTGGCTCCGGTAACTGAGCCGTCGATGCTCTAAGTGAGGGGGAGAGTAATGGCTAGTGTTAGCATTAGCATTGGAGACCAGCTGGTCAGCCGCTGGCTTTTCCTTTTCCCTCTGCTGTCCATTAGCATGGATCTGCTGTTAGCTTTGACTTGACCAATATTCCCAGACTTTTCACCCACGACTTGCACATCTAAAGTTAACACTCCTTTGACCTCTGACCTCTTCTCCCTGCAGCAATTTGACTACGACAGCAGCACGGTGAGGAAGAGGATCTTCCAGGAAGCCCTGGTCTCCATCATGCTGCCCTTCATCAAGAAGAACCTGGCCGACTCCTGCAAACCAGTAAGCCTCAAACCAGTAAACCTTGTCCAGACGCACCTGCAGCTCTGGGCTGTAGACGTCCGGTTCTGTCCTCATGGTTCTGTCCTCATGGTTCTGTCCTCATGGTTCTGTCCTCATGCGGTCCGGTTCTGTCCTCATGCGGTCCGGTTCTGTCTGTCCACAGGAGCTCCAGGGTCTGGAACAGACCGTCTACACTGACTACTCCAACTTCATCCATGTGGAGAACGTCTATGAGAAGATCCTCCTGGAAATCCTGGACAAGGAGGTTTCTAAGGGTAGGAAGCAGCTCCTCCTCTTCCTCCTCCTCTTCCTCCTCCTCTTCCTCCCTCTCCTCTTCCTCCCTCCTCTTCCTCCTCCTCCTCTTCCTCCCTCTCCTCTTCCTCCCTCTCCTCCTCTTCCTCCCTCTCCTCTTCCTCCCTCTCCTCCTCTTCCTCCTCCTTTTCCTCCTCCTCTTCTTCCTCCCTCTCCTCTTCCTCCTCCTCTTCCTCCTCCTCTTCCTCCCTCTCCTCTTCCTCCCTCTCCTCCTCCTCCTCCTCTTCCTCCCTCTCCTCTTCCTCCCTCTCCTCCTCTTCCTCCCTCTCCTCTTCCTCCTCCTCTTCCTCCCTCTCCTCTTCCTGCCTCTCCTCCTCTTCCTCTTCCTCCTCCTCCTCCTCTTCCTCCTCCTCCTCCTCTTCCTCCTCCTCTTCCTCCTTCTCCTCACCTCTCCTGTTCTCTGCTGGTCCTGCAGTGGTGAAGGAAGCCGCCAGCCTGCATAAACACAACTTGTTCAAGGAGAGCAGCCGCTCCAGCCTGTCCTCCGTCTCCACGCCCGGCAGCCCCGCCCCGGCTCTGGCCTCCTCCATCAGGTCCCCGTCCCAGACTCCTCCGTCTCCCCTGGCCGTCAACGGGCCGCGCCCCGGTCCCACGGAGAAGAACGTAGGAGCAGAAGTCCTGCAGGCGGCCGAGACGCTGCTGAAGGAATTGGAACCGACAGCAGTCGAAGGAACCAGAACCGACCGAACGCTGAAGGTAGAAGGGATCAGCTCAGCAGACCCAAAACCACCTTCAGCCGAGACTCTGGACCCATCAGAACCACAGATCCAGGAAAATCTCTCCATCCAAACCGAAGAACCCAGAACCCAGAGAACAGACCAACAAGAGGCAGAAACCACTTCTCCAGAACCTCCTGCTGCTTCTCCAGAAGGTCCAACTGTTACAGAACCTCCAGTTCCAGAACCTCGAGCTCCAGAACCTTCCGTTGTTTCAGAAGCTCCAAGTCTGGACCAAACCGATGAACCTGTGAATCATCCAGCAGAAGAAACCGGATCTCAGCCTGCAGCCGCCGGCCAGCAGCCATCAGCCATGCTGGCGGCTCCCCCTGGTGGTGAAGAAGCAGAAGACGTCGGTCTGAAGCTGAAGACGGAGGACGCAGAGTCCCTCTCCGCCTCGGAGTCCCTCTCCGCCTCGAATCCCAACCCCCTGGGCGTCTCGGTGGGTCGTGACTCTCCACGGTCCGACCTGGAGTCCACAGCAGGAACCTCAGAAACCTCTGAGCTCCTGGAGGTCCAGTCAGCGCTGACATCCGAGGACCAGACCTCAGCGGGAGAACCGTCCATGGAGGCTCAGACCGGAGGGGTGGAGGCCGGAGCCGGAACCACGGCAGAGAGTCCATCAGAACCGGACCGAGCTGCGTTCTCCCGGCCCGCCGGGCCCGATGTCCAGCCGCTGGACGCCGTGAACGACATCCGCAACCTGTTGGTGGAGGTGATCGAGGTGGAGCATCATTGTCCCAAAGAGGAATGAACTGGGTGATCCAGAACCAGAACCAGAACCGCCTTAACTGCTGCATGAAGATATAATAACTTATTTAAACAAATCATTTATCAGGTTTCAGCTGGAGGCGACTTTAGGAACTTTGAGACGTTTTATGGTGGAAGCTTTTCTAAACCATTTGGCTTCATCTGAGTCCAAGCAGAAAGTTCTGCAGAACTTCACCGGGTTCCTGCCGGTGACGTCCTGCAGGATGATTCTTTCCTATCAAACTGGGTCCAGAACTATCCAACCGGGTCAGAACTACCCAACCGGGTCAGAACTACCCAACCGGGTCAGAACTACCCAACTGGGTCTGGAACTACCCAACCGGGTCAGAACTACCCAACCGGGTCAGAACTACCCAACCGGGTCAGAACTACCCAACTGGGTCTGGAACTATCCAACCGGGTCCAGATATGACGGCATTGATAGAAAAAAAAAATGATTTCTGATTCAAAAATCAAAGATTGAGTTTTTTCCCATCAAAATTTTGACTTTTTGTTGGAAATTTAGTGATTTTTCTCATATTTGTGAGATTAATTTTGAAATTCCATTTTCTTTGTAGCAAATTTTCAACTCTTGAAATCCAGTTATTTTTTCTGGAAAATGAATCAGACTGTGAGTTTTGTCAGGAATGTTCTCCCCTACTGCCGTGGTGCCAGCAGAACCTCCATCACTGACCTGCTTCCCGACGTTCCGGGACGAGATTCCCGCTGTTCCCACTGTGGGAATCCAGCCGGATCAGATCTGCTGGTTTCGTTCGATCCGACATGAAGAATCCCAGCAGGAACTGAATTCCTGTTTCACCAGAACCGTCTGGTCCAGGAGCAGCATTCTGGACCAGCTGGTTCTGCTCCATGGATAAACTGGATTTAGTGGGAATTTAAAACACGTGGTGCCTTCGCTGTCCATGGAGACGGGCAGCTTCCTCACCGAAGTGCCTGCGCCGGACCGGTTCTGTTCTCCCAGCAAAGCAAACGCAGCAGGATGACGACGACAAAGCTGTTTAGACCAACCAGCAGGATTCTGTTGGGTCAGAACCAGAACATTTCCTCCTGGTTCCAGAACCAACAGACATCTGTAGTAACGTTTCACAATAAAAGCATGAAGGTTTCAGTCGGCTCTTGTTTTTTTATTTAAGTTGATGAAACTAGCAGCAGATTGAGCCGCAGTGATTTATCAGCACAGAAACATTTCAATTTCAAAATAAAAGCCTTCACTTGTGACCAATCTGTCCACAAAATGGCCCCCGCGCCGCACATTGGACACCCATCAAAACCGGACCTGCTGCATCAGAACCAGTGAGGCTGAAAGGTAAGAGATCCAGACATCAGCCAGACATTAAAGTTCTACACCGGGTCGGATTGGGTCAGTCTGGGTCGGATCGGGACATTTTGGACAAAACAAGTCAAAACATTGAAGCCATAAAAACAAAGAAAAAAAGGAAAATATTTTTTATTTTCACTGCTGGAGTTTTATCCTCTTGAATTCAAAATGTCATTTATAGTTTCAATGATCCAGATTAATAACATTAAATACATGTAATAAATATATTTATGCTGTTTATGGATTAAATATTTTCAATTTGTCTGAATCAAAATCTACTTTTTTATGATCTCCTGTGGAAACTCAAAGGTTCTGTTGTGGCCCGGTTCTGGTTCTGCCGAACATTCGGACTGTTGATCTTTTGCTTCTACATGTTTTGATCAGGAGCATTTGAGTTGCCCGTCTGCAGTTGCCACAGTAACGGGCCCTTTAAAGCGGTTTAACCACACACAATCGGACTTTAACTAGACCCAGTTTCCCACATGGTGGAGGCTGGTGGTGCTGCGGGCTTTGAGATTTTTGGGATTAGAGAATCGATCAGGGAAATGAGACCCAACCACTTAGAAACCCTAAATATGAATTAACTTTGACCCCAACGCAGTTCCTCTCTCGCAGGAGGTTTCAAACGGAACCAGAACCATCCAGGTTCTGGTTTCTTACAGACACAAAGGAAAACCAGAAGGCCTAGTCCAAGTCCCAGACCTTGGGGAAGGATCCGGGTTTACCGGGAAGCGTTGGCGCTGTAGCTGTAGAAGATCTGCTCATCGGGCCGGAAACTGACGGGATGAACTGGTCCAAACTGCTGAAGGACAAAGAGAACCAGAACCAGCATAAGAACCAGAACCTGAAAACAGAACAGGAACATGTCGATATAGTAAGTTCTGTCACACAGGGAAATAAATTTCCTCTATTATTTTTACAGCCCAGTTGTTTCATCTCTGTTGGAAGATGATGTCATGATGTTTCCAGAAGTTTCATAATATGGCAAACATAAAACTCTGCGTTTCAGACATCATATATTTTTACTTCAGGTTCTTATTCCTGTTCAAATCAGTCACCATAATTACAACGGGATGATGCTAATGCTAGCAGCTTGTAGCTTAGCAACGATGAAGCTACACATGAAATGTGCTCCGGGCCCCAGAGGGCTGGTTCCGGCCCTGCTGTGCAGTAAATGGACGACGGGTGAACATGGATCAGTTTCTCTGGATTCCTCTGACCCTGGATGACCTTCAGCTGGCAGAAGGCCGACCTTGGAACCATCTTCATGACCCTGAAGGTCAAACCTCCACAACTCAGAACAACTGAAGCTGCAGAGACAGAACTCACCACTAGGTGGAGCTCTCACTCCACTCCCAAACCTCCTCTGGGCCCAACCCGTCCTCCGTCCACCAACCGGACCTGCAGAGGCCCAAATGTTCCAGCCGCCCACAGTGGGAGTGGGAAGCAGGAGTTCATGGCTGGAGGGGATCGCCGTGGAGACGGAGGACGATGAAGAGGAGGAGCATGGCTGTTTGTGACTCCACATGACCTCACATCATCATGACCTCACATCATCATGACCTCACATCACCGTGACCTCACATCATCATGACCTCACATCACCATGACCTCACATCATCATGACCTCACATCATCATGACCTCACATCACCATGACCTCACAACATCATGACCTCACATCATCATGACCTCACATCATCGTGACCTCACATCATCATGACCTCACATCATCATGACCTCACATCATCATGACCTCACATCACATCATGACCTCACATCATCATGACCTCACATCATCATGACCTCACATCATCATGACCTCACATCATCATGACCTCACATCATGACCTCACATCATCATGACCTCACATCACCATGACCTCACATCATCATGACCTCACATCACCGTGACCTCACATCATCGTGACCTCACATCACCGTGACCTCACATCATCGTGACCTCACATCACCGTGACCTCACATCACGTGACTCACATCACCGACCTCACATCACATGACCTCACATCACCGACCTCACATCATCATGACCTCACATCACCGTGACCTCACATCATCATGACCTCACATCACCGTGACCTCACATCACAGTGACCTCACATCACCATGACCTCACATCATCATGACCTCACATCACAGTGACCTCACATCACCATGACCTCACATCATCATGACCTCACATCACCGTGACCTCACATCATCGTGACCTCACATCACCATGACCTCACATCATCATGACCTCACATCACCGTGACCTCACATCATCGTGACCTCACATCACCATGACCTCACATCATCATGACCTCACATCACCATGACCTCACATCATCATGACCTCACATCACCGTGACCTCACATCATCGTGACCTCACATCACCGTGACCTCACATCATCGTGACCTCACATCACCGTGACCTCACATCACCGTGACCTCACATCACCGTGACCTCACATCACAGTGACCTCACATCATCATGACCTCACATCACCGTGACCTCACATCATCATGACCTCACATCACCATGACCTCACATCATCATGACCTCACATCACCGTGACCTCACATCATCGTGACCTCACATCACCGTGACCTCACATCATCGTGACCTCACATCACCGTGACCTCACATCACCGTGACCTCACATCACAGTGACCTCACATCACAGTGACCTCACATCATCGTGACCTCACATCACCGTGACCTCACATCACCGTGACCTCACATCATCATGACCTCACATCATCATGACCTCACATCCAGAACTTTTGGGATTTCTCCAGAAGGTGGGAGCGTTTCTCTTCCTGTCTGGCTAAAATACGAGCTGCTTGCGTTTCCCCGCCGCGCTGCAGTCATTAAGTTTTTATCTAAATCACGTCCAGCGCCTCCTCCTCCTCCTCTTCCTCATTCTGCTCCTCTTCCTCATTCTGCTCCTCCTCCTCCTCCTCCTCCTCCTCCTCCTCCTCCTCCTCCTCCTCTGCCATGTTTCCCCCCCACCGGGGCAGAAATATGTCCCTTCCCTCTCCACACGCTAAGGCTGTCAGACAGGATTTGGGATTTGGGCTAAAGGAGGAACAGTGAAGCTCTGATTCCGGCGGGATCCGGACCGGACCAGGAGGAGAATCTGAGACATTTCCCCTGAAGAAGCCGCTTTAGAGGGAATTTATCGCCTCAGTTTCACCTTCATCTGTCAGAAAATCTGAGAAAGGAAATTAATTTTCCAGCATTTCGTCTGCAATTCCAGCGTCTGCAGTTCTCATTTTCCCAGTGGAGAAAATGATAAACGTCGTTCATCGTCTTCCAAACATTTTACCAGGATATTAAAATCTGAGAAACCACAAAAACTTCTATTGTTAATCAAAATTCAATGATGGTTACAAAGTGAACATGCAGGATTTTATAGAAATGAAAGCAGTGAAGAACCAGCTGATAAATGAACCACACTGATTAGTTACAGACATTTCAACACGCTAAAAATTTTATGCAATTAATCTCTTTCTTTCTTTGTAAACAGGACAGAATATTTATATTCTAATGTTTCTGCCTCAGAAAACCGTAAAGTTAAACGAAACATCGAAGCGTTGAAATGTCGGAGCGTCTTCTCTCAGATTAATTTCTGCTTCTAAAGGATCTGATTGGATGCTGGGACAAACTGATGTGTAGCCGTGGTGCTAATGGAGTTAGCTTATCAGATGTTTGAATAACCTAAATAAGGTTAAAAACAATAAATATTGTTCAGTAATTTAGCAGCATATTCTTTATTGAAAAGGTTTATTTTTGAAGTGATTGCGTGACAGACGCTTCATCAGCCTGATTATTGATTAGCTCCTCCTTCCTGTAATGATCAACATGGTTTCATTTGTTCATGTTTCAATACTTGAACTGGAACTTCAGGAAACTGGAAATCGGCCTATTTAAAGCAGGAAGAACCTTAAAATCGTTTCTGGATTGTGTCAGGTGATGTTCAGTGTTCCTGTGGATCGAGATCCAGACACGTTCCTGAGGTTCTGGCCCGGCTCTCTGAGGTCCGATTCACACCATGTTTCACGCGGTTCAGAACCGGCGGCCGGGTTGGCTCTGATTATTCTGCTGAGTCTAAGTGAAAGCGAGCGGCTCCCCCGCCGCTCCGGGCTGTCAGAGACGCGCTGATGGACAGCACAACACAAACACCACGGAGGCGAAGCGTCTGTCGTCTGTTCGGATCGGGTTCTGGACCCGGCCGGGGCCAAAGAAAAAATTCCTGCTGAACAGTCTGCCGACAGGAGCTTCATCTCACGCGAGCAGCGCTCCGATAATGGGACAATTTTCTCTGAATCTACTCTGGATTTCCCAAACAATCCATCAACTCAGCCGTGGATCCCATCAGCTGCTGCCCGGTTCTGGGGACTAGCAGGAAACCCGAGGTCGGTTCTGGTGATAACAGCAATGAGTTTTAATTCCCAGCCATCGGCTTTAAGTTTCAGCCCGGAATGTCGGAATGGGATTCGGAATGGAGTGGGTAGATCCACTGGAGCCGTGGAGGCGGCCGGAGAGTGTTTGTTCTCAAAGCTTCTCAGAGGGTGGAGCGATGCCTTCAGGGACCGGCCCGATAACCCGGGTCAGCCGGCAGGGGAACCGGCGCCGGTCAGAGGACGGGATAAAGGGAAGCAGGCGGAGTTCAGTGCTTCCTAACGAACACGCCCGGAGTTTCAGGCGGGATTAGGGACATACGATAAATCGGCATTAACATCGGAACCGGCCCGATAAGTAAAACCGGATCTGGTTATGTGCTGTGATGCCACAGTTACCTTGAACACGTAATTTTGATCGGATTATTGATCAATCCCTGCTGATCATTCTGAAAGTAACTCATTTACATTCTGGCCCCGCCCCCTCTGTGAGCCAGAAGTGCTTTAATTTCCTCCACCACATCCTGCCTGACCCACTTCTTCTACTCTCCTCCACCCTGGTTTGTACTTTGACTAGGCCATGCTGTGACTCCAAGGTTTGTTCAAACTCGATTTTGGAAGCTCAATAGTTCAGGGATCAGCAGGGATCTATAATATTGATAATATCGATTAGCGATATAAACAGCGGATCTTAGTATTGGCCCTGAGTTCCCATCATGCCTCTCTGTTTCGGAAACGTTGGACCGTCGGCTCGGCTTGTTCAATACCTGCTCAGGTTTTCCGCCTCTCCCAGCTCATCGCTCTGGATCTCTGCGTAGAAACCAGGGCTGACGGATCCGTCTCCGGAGAGAATCCCGTCTGAACGACACGACACACTGAGACCCCAACCGACCCGAACCGACCCTGGGGTTCGGTCCCACTCGGGGCTCTCAAGGTACCTGCGGCGTAGAACAGGTCCGGCCGCTCCAGCACGGCCCGGTTCCCGCTGAAGGGCTCGTCTCCGAACAGGAAGGGCTCGTCTCCGAACAGGAAGGGCTCGTCTCCGAACAGGAAGGGCTCGTCCGGCGGCCGGTTCTCCACCATCTCCAGCCACTGGCTGTTGTAGAAGCAGAATTTGGCCGTCTGGATCTTCCTGGCCCACTCCAGGTCGTATTCCTGAGGAGAGGCGAAGCGGGACAGACATGACCGCTACAGTTCAGGATGTTTGGACTCCAAACACTTTCATCTCATTGGTGACGTTAGTGTGAAAATTCATTTTCCACAACAATCATGTCAGCCATCTTGAAAAATCCCAAAATTATTGGTATGATTTCTATGGGTCCAGTTAGCTGAGATTTGACTCTCAAAGTATTAATCTGTGATAAAATCCTTACAAGCCTCCAGTGTTCAGTTTCTGTTTCTGCTGAAATATTTTGTTTCCCTGCAGCTTCAATACTCCGAACCTCAGTCTTCATCATCATCATCATCACCATCATCAGGAGCTGAGCCAGCGGCGGCGCTGGGGTTAGCGACACTGATCGGTTATTGATCAGCAGTATGAGCTCGTCTACTTCCTGTTTTCTCCATAAATCTGCGATGTAATCAGCTGCTCTGATCAAAGGTGAGTCTGTCTGTCTGTGTGTGTGTGTGTGTGTGTGCGTCTGTCTGTGTGTGTGTGTGTGTGTGTGTGTGTGAGTGTGTGTGTGTGAGTGTGTGTGTGCGTCTGTCTGTCTGTGTGTGTGTGTATGTGTGTGAGTGTGTGTGTGTGTGTGTGTGAGTGTGTGTGTATGTGTGAGAGTGTGTGTGTGTGTGTGTGAGTGTGTGTGTGTGTGAGTGTGTGTATGTGTGAGAGTGGGTGTGAGTGTGTGTGAGTGTGTGTGTGTTTTCCCCCATGACGGCGCCGTCGGCCCCTGACACACTCCAGACGCCCCCTGCTTGCCTCTCATGTGCAAATCGCCTCCCTGATCAGTTAAATGAAACACTTCCTTCGGTCCGATTGGCCGCCTGGTTTTGGTCTCAAATAATTTCGCTGATCGGAGGTCTGGCAGCGCTCACGCTGCGGCTGGCAGCGAACCGCAGCCGTCCATCACCGCCTGGTCTGCGATCTGATGGACGGACGGTCAAACATCAGCAGAATCTGCTAAGATATTAAAAATATCTAACATTTATGATTTTATTAAGAAAACAAAATGAATCAAGTTTCAGACGAGAAGATTTGATTTCCTGTTTCTCTCTCAGAAAAACCTGGACGACTGAGGATCTATAGTTTGATCATTATTTATCAATAATGATCAAAATAACAGCTTAAATCGGATGGTTAGATAATCAATAACAGATTAAAAACAATAAATATTTCTGCAGTTCAGCTGACATATCCAATTATTTCATACATTTGCTGAATTAAAATGTTGCTTATTTTCTCAGTATTTTGGTTTTGATTAAAATAAAGTTAATTAAGTACAGATCCTGTGACTAGCACAATAAAAACTCTAATGGAGTCCATCCCAACAGCATTAACAACAGGAGGAACATTCACTAATCGATCAAAAGAAAACAAAATAAAAAGTCAGAGACTTGACTTGGACTTGTGGAAAATTACTTTAGTTTTTGTTCATCATGCTTTTATTTTGGTGGGGACTCGTTGATAACATCCTGGTTCTGCTTGCAGCAGAAAAATAAAGATCATGACATGTTTTCTGTTCTGCTCAGAGCCTTCAGGAGGTGAGGAAGACTCTGAAACCGATGAAGAGTCCAAGAAAAGAAGGATTTTAGTGACCACACATAAAAATGAGCTCCGAATAGAAACCAGACCCTGATAAAACCCAACCGAACCTGAAAAACTATCAGAACTCATGTCTACGATTTAATGATCGTCATTTACACACTGCGTCCTCCTCCAGCAGGGGGAGCCGTCCCTGCAGGCGCCACTCACCGCTATGATGTCCAGGGTGCTGTCACACACTCTGCGGATGGCCGCGTTGCCGTCGTGCATCAGGTCAACGAAGTACGCCGGAGCCTCTGGTGTCGGGAGTAAAGGAGAAGATTTCCTGCAACGCCATGAGGGTGAATGAGGATGAATTACTCCAGCGCACAGCGAAGGATACGCGTGTCTTTGATGATGATGTCTCTGGTCGTCTTGTGGAACGCCATCTGGTAGAAGACGTAGAGAATCTGGCAGACAAACTCGTCGTCCTCCTGTTGGGCTGAAACGGGAAAAACACTCCAGTCTCCAGGGAACGTTTATCAAGACCACCAAACACTAGAACAACCATCACATCACCACCAAACACTAGAACAACCATCACATCACCACCAAACACTAGAACAACCATCACATCACCACCAAACACTAGAACAACCATCACATCACCACCAAACACTAGAACAACCATCACAACACCACCAAACACTAGAACAACCATCATATCACCACCAAACACTAGAACAACCATCACAACACCACCAAACACTAGAACAACCATCACATCACCACCAAACACTAGAACAACCATCACAACACCACCAAACACTAGAACAACCATCATATCACCACCAAACACTAGAACAACCATCACATCACCACCAAACACTAGAACAACCATCACATCACCACCAAACACTAGAACAACCATCACATCACCACCAAACACTAGAACAACCATCACAACACCACCAAACACTAGAACAACCATCATATCACCACCAAACACTAGAACAATCATCACATCATCACCAAACACTAGAACAACCATCACAACACCACCAAACACTAGAACAACCATCATATCACCACCAAACACTAGAACAACCATCACAACACCACCAAACACTAGAACAACCATCACATCACCACCAAACACTAGAACAACCATCACAACACCACCAAACACTAGAACAACCATCATATCACCACCAAACACTAGAACAACCATCACATCATCACCAAACACTAGAACAACCATCACATCACCACCAAACACTAGAACAACCATCATATCACCAAACACTAGAACAACCATCACATCACCACCAAACACTAGAACAACCATCATATCACCACCAAACACTAGAACAACCATCACATCACCACCAAACACTAGAACAACCATCATATCACCACCAAACACTAGAATAACCATCACATCATCACCAAACACTAGAACAACCATCACAACACCACCAAACACTAGAACAACCATCATATCACCACCAAACACTAGAACAACCATCACATCATCACCAAACACTAGAACAACCATCATATCACCAAACACTAGAACAACCATCACATCACCACCAAACACTAGAACAACCATCATATCACCACCAAACACTAGAACAACCATCACATCACCACCAAACACTAGAATAACCATCACATCATCACCAAACACTAGAACAACCATCATATCACCACCAAACACTAGAACAACCATCACATCACCACCAAACACTAGAACAACCATCATATCACCACCAAACACTAGAACAACCATCATATCACCAAACACTAGAACAACCATCACATCATCACCAAACACTAGAACAACCATCACATCATCACCAAACACTAAAACAACCATCATATCATCACCAAACACTAGAACAACCATCATATCACCACCAAACACTAGAACAACCATCACAACACCACCAAACACTAGAACAACCATCATATCACCACCAAACACTAGAACAACCATCACATCACCACCAAACACTAGAACAACCATCACATCACCACCAAACACTAGAACAACCATCACATCACCACCAAACACTAGAACAACCATCACAACACCACCAAACACTAGAACAACCATCATATCACCACCAAACACTAGAACAATCATCACATCACCACCAAACACTAGAACAACCATCACATCATCACCAAACACTAGAACAACCATCACATCACCACCAAACACTAGAACAACCATCACAACACCACCAAACACTAGAACAACCATCACATCACCACCAAACACTAGAACAACCATCACAACACCACCAAACACTAGAACAACCATCATATCACCACCAAACACTAGAACAACCATCACATCATCACCAAACACTAGAACAACCATCACATCACCACCAAACACTAGAACAACCATCATATCACCAAACACTAGAACAACCATCACATCACCACCAAACACTAGAACAACCATCATATCACCACCAAACACTAGAACAACCATCACATCACCACCAAACACTAGAACAACCATCATATCACCAAACACTAGAATAACCATCACATCATCACCAAACACTAGAACAACCATCACCACACCACCAAACACTAGAACAACCATAATATCACCACCAAACACTAGAACAACCATCACATCATCACCAAACACTAGAACAACCATCACATCACCACCAAACACTAGAACAACCATCATATCACCAAACACTAGAACAACCATCACATCACCACCAAACACTAGAACAACCATCATATCACCACCAAACACTAGAACAACCATCACATCACCACCAAACACTAGAACAACCATCACATCACCACCAAACACTAGAATAACCATCAATCATCACCAAACACTAGAACAACCATCATATCACCACCAAACACTAGAACAACCATCACATCACCACCAAAACTAGAACAACCATCATATCACCACAAACACTAGAACAACCATCACATCACCACCAAACACTAGAACAACCATCACATCATCACCAAACACTAGAACAACCATCACATCATCACCAAACACTAAAACAACCATATATCATCACCAAACACACTAGAACAACCATCATATCACCAAACACTTAGAACAACCATCATATCACCACCAAACACTAGAACAACCATCACAACACCACCAAACACTAGAATACCATCATATCACCACCAAACACTAGAACAACCATCACAACACCACCAAACACTAGAACAACCATCATATCATCACCAAACACTAGAACAACCATCACATCATCACCAAACACTAGAACAACCATCACATCACCACCAAACACTAGAACAACCATCACATCACCACCAAACACTAGAACAACCATCACATCATCACCAAACACTAGAACAACCATCATATCACCAAACACTAGAATAACCATCACATCATCACCAAACACTAGAACAACCATCACATCACCACCAAACACTAGAACAACCATCATATCACCACCACACACTAGAACAACCATCACATCATCACCAAACACTAGAACAACCATCATATCACCACCAAACACTAGAACAACCATCATATCACCACCAAACACTAGAACAACCATCACATCACCACCAAACACTAGAACAACCATCATATCACCACCAAACACTAGAACAACCATCACATTACCACCAAACACTAGAACAACCATCACATCATCACCAAACACTAGAACAACCATCACATCATCACCAAACACTAGAACAACCATCATATCATCACCAAACACTAGAACAACCATCATATCACACCAAACACTAGAACAACCATCACAACACCACCAAACACTAGAACAACCATCATATCACCACCAAACACTAGAACAACCATCACATCACCACCAAACACTAGAACAACCATCACATCACCACCAACACTAGAACAACCATCACATCACCACCAAACACTAGAACAACCATCACAACACCACCAAACACTAGAACAACCATCATATCACCACCAAACACTAGAACAACCATCATCATCACCACCAAACACTAGAACAACCATCACATCATCACCAACACTAGAACAACCATCACATCACCACCAAACACTAGAACAACCATCACAACACCACCAAACACTAGAACAACCATCACATCACCACCAAACACTAGAACAACCATCACAACACCACCAAACACTAGAACAACCATCATATCACCACCAAACACTAGAACAACCATCACATCATTACCAAACACTAGAACAACCATCACATCACCACCAAACACTAGAACAACCATCATATCACCAAACACTAGAACAACCATCACATCACCACCAAACACTAGAACAACCATCATATCACCACCAAACACTAGAACAACCATCACATCACCACCAAACACTAGAACAACCATCATATCACCAAACACTAGAATAACCATCACATCATCACCAAACACTAGAACAACCATCACAACACCACCAAACACTAGAACAACCATAATATCACCACCAAACACTAGAACAACCATCACATCATCACCAAACACTAGAACAACCATCACATCACCACCAAACACTAGAACAACCATCATATCACCAAACACTAGAACAACCATCACATCACACCACAAACACTAGAACAACCATCATATCACCACCAAAACACTAGAAAAACCATCACATCACCACCAAACACTAGAACAACCATCACATCACCACCAAACACTAGAATAACCATCACATCATCACCAAACACTAGAACAACCATCATATCACCACCAAACACTAGAACAACCATCACATCACCACCAAACACTAGAACAACCATCATATCACCACCAAACACTAGAACAACCATCACATTACCACCAAACACTAGAACAACCATCACATCATCACCAAACACTAGAACAACCATCACATCATCACCAAACACTAGAACAACCATCATATCATCACCAAACACTAGAACAACCATCATATCACCAAACACTAGAACAACCATCATATCACCACCAAACACTAGAACAACCATCACAACACCACCAAACACTAGAACAACCATCATATCACCACCAAACACTAGAACAACCATCACAACACCACCAAACACTAGAACAACCATCATATCATCACCAAACACTAGAACAACCATCACATCATCACCAAACACTAGAACAACCATCACATCACCACCAACACTAGAACAACCATCACATCACCACCAAACACTAGAACAACATCACATCATCACCAAACACTAGAACAACCATCATATCACCAAACACTAGAATAACCATCACATCATCACCAAACACTAGAACAACCATCACATCACCACCAAACACTAGAACAACCATCATATCACCACCACACACTAGAACAACCATCACATCATCACCAAACACTAGAACAACCATCATATCACCACCAAACACTAGAACAACCATCACATCATCACCAAACACTAGAACAACCATCATATCACCACCAAACACTAGAACAACCATCATATCACCACCAAACACTAGAACAACCATCACATCACCACCAAACACTAGAACAACCATCACATCACCACCAAACACTAGAACAACCATCATATCACCAAACACTAGAACAACCATCATATCACCACCAAACACTAGAACAACCATCATATCACCACCAAACACTAGAACAACCATCATATCATCACCAAACACTAGAACAACCATCATATCACCACCAAACACTAGAACAACCATCATATCACCACCAAACACTAGAACAACCATCATATCACCACCAAACACTAGAACAACCATCATATCACCACCAAACACTAGAACAACCATCATATCATCACCAAACACTAGAACAACCATCATATCACCACCAAACACTAGAACAACCATCATATCATCACCAAACACTAGAACAACCATCATATCACCACCAAACACTAGAACAACCATCATATCATCACCAAACACTAGAACAACCATCATATCACCACCAAACACTAGAACAACCATCATATCACCACCAAACACTAGAACAACCATCATATCACCACCAAACACTAGAACAACCATCATATCATCACCAAACACTAGAACAACCATCATATCACCACCAAACACTAGAACAACCATCATATCACCACCAAACACTAGAACAACCATCATATCACCACCAAACACTAGAACAACCATCACAACACCACCAAACACTAGAACAACCATCATATCATCACCAAACACTAGAACAACCATCATATCACCACCAAACACTAGAACAACCATCATATCACCACCAAACACTAGAACAACCATCATATCATCACCAAACACTAGAACAACCATCATATCATCACCAAACACTAGAACAACCATCATATCACCAAACACTAGAATAACCATCACATCACCACCAAACACTAGAACAACCATCATATCACCACAAAGAAGCAAAACTTTGGTGGTCAGAATAGATCTCAGTTTTTCAGTTGTAGAAAAACTTTGGAAATTAAAAAATTGGCCTAAAAAACTACTTCGAAAGTTTTTTTTTCTCAAATATTTCTGAAATAAATCTAAAAATTTCAGAGATTTTTCTAGCAAATTTTGGACTTTTCAAACTCTGGATTTTTCTTTTTTGGGAGAAATTTACTGCCAAAGAACTGCTTTCCTTTCTTTCTGCATTGGCTCTGAAACATCTGTGTAAAACCTGAAACTGCAATTTCTGAAAAGACGTCATGAGCATCGCCTGCAGAGTTTAAACTCCTCCTGCCAGTAAACAGCAGGAGGTGAAACCTGACAGGAAGAAGAAGAGTCAGCGACTCACCGTTGAGGAGATCGATGAGAGCAGGAATGATGCCGGATTTGGCCAACATGGCGGCACAAGAGTCGTCCATGGAGACGGTGCCGATCAGGATGACGACCTCCAGGATGAGGTCGTCCTCAGCAGAGCCTGTTGGGAAACGCAGCGTCAGCAGGAAACGTGTGAACTCTAGACGCTCAACAGCTTCAGCCCGATTCTTCCTGCTGCGGCTCCATGTTTCTGCTAAACGAGGCCAAAATCTAAATCATTTCTTACTGAACTCCAGGTTTGCTTTTAGTGTTTTGGAGCCTCCAGCTCTTATTTTGGAGGAATGAAGGAAGAAGAGCAGAGAACGAAGGAAGAGATGCAGCAGATGGTCCGGGAATCGAACCGCCGGCCGCCGGGTTGAGGCCTGCAGCCTCTGCTCCACTGCGTTCCTCCACATTTCTTTCTAGATGCTTTGGGTTGACAGGGAGCAGCCTGGTAGCAGAACCACATCTCCTGACCTCTGACCTTTCACCTAAAACTGTTTCTCTCCAGTGCCCAGAAGGTTGTTCAGTTTTTTAATATTCTGGATAAAGTAAAATAGAGAAACGTTTGTAATCCTCCGGACCGTCTGGACCCTGAACGCAGCGCGACCTCCAGACCTTCCCTCTGGCCGGCATCCAGTGAACTCAGGACAGATGAAAGCGGGGTCAGAGGTCACCGACAATCAAAGCTCCAGATAAGGAGGGAAGCCGTGGCTCTTCTCCATCCTCAGCCGACTCCTGACTGATAACCGGGCCCGAGCGATGGCAGCCGGAGGCTTCAGTACCTGGCTTCAGGCGCCGCTTTAGGTACGGAACCAGGCCGTACTCCCTCAGAACCAGCTCCCAGTCCAAGTCCGGGATGGTCAGGTTGGCCAGCGTTCCCAGACACTCGATCACAAACTCTTCGGCCTCGTCTTCGCGGATCTGGGCCGCCAGGTCGCCAACGTGGTCCTGCAGAGACCAGACGGAGACAAAACATCTAACCGGGACTCGGGCGCTGCAGCGCCGCCGACGGACACGGAAACGGACCAGGAACAGGTTCTTGGTGGGTCCACCATGTTGAGACAGGTTCCTGATCACCTTCATCACCAGAACGTCCTTCAGCTTCAGAGCCCGGTTCATCAGCAGCTTCAGGCCGTTCCCTGGGCAGGAGGAGACAATGGGACCTGATCAGTCGGTTCCGGTTCATCGGTTCTGATGGTCGGCAGCTCAAACCTTCACAGAAGAGCAGAGCGTTGCTCCAGTTGGCAGCCAGGTTGATGCAGAGCGAGACGAGCTCCACGTCCAGCTGCTCCTCACCGCCCAGCATGATCTTCATCAGCTGCCAGACAACAACCACCATCATCATCATCATCATCATCATCATCATCATCATCATCATCATCATCATCATCAGTTCAGGTAGATGCTTCATCAATCCTGAGCTCATCTGAGTCAGAACCAGCCAATCACAGAAGACGTCAGATCTGAACATTGAAATTTTGGAGTCCCAGCCCAAAAGGTAAACTTGGCCCAATTACAGCTTAACTCCAGTTCTGAACCCAGAACAGGGCGGGGCTGTGCGTGCAGGGGGCGGGGCCTAAATGGGCCGGGGCTGGGCGTGCAGGGGGCGGGGCCTAAATGGGGCGGGGGTGAAGAAACAGATAAAACAGAAACTCCTGAGCAGGATTCACTTTTTATCTTCCTGATTCAGTCAGAAGGATTCTGATTGGCTGGTGCAGATTAGCTCCGCCCACCAAACAAAGCTAAACTCTGTTTTCCCATCAAGAAGACAACTGCTCCACCGAGATCTTTAAACATTGAAAAAATTATTCTGTCATGTGAACAGCTGAGAGAAGAGAGAGAAAAAGACACAAAAAAGAATTTCTATTATCAGAATATCTAAAACCTTAAACATGTCAGACTGAACTCAGGGTTTAAAGATAACATATGAACTAGTAAGCAAGGTGAGTATTTTATCATGATATAAATTTTGATTTACCCTGAAATCAGATTTCAGTGAAAGACATTCAAACTCCTGAACCGACACTGATCATATTTTCTGCTGCTGCTTCCATGAGAGCATCAACATATATCCATCAACTCAAAACTATAATTAAATGTTGTTAATGTGATCGGTTAATGCTAAATGTATCTGACGTCCTGGTTTTTATCATCTTGAATAAACCCTGCAGGTCTGAGTCTGACGGATGAATCCAGGCTGAGTTAGCTGCAGCTAGCTGCACTAATCCAGCAGGAATCAATATCCCCAATATTCACGACTCATCAGTAATCTGATCCAAACGACAAAAGACAACGCTGGAGGTTCCAGAGTTTTATAATAATAACTGATCATAACCTCCACAGTTTAATAAATTACCGGTTAATGAATCATCAGACTGCAGCTCTAAAGGAATCAGTCAGAGTGAATCAGTTCCTGGTTCTAGTTCAGTAGAAATGTGATAATTAAAGCTGGACGTGTTGAAGATCTGCAGCTGAGACTGTCAGTTCATGTTAGCTAACTATGCTAGTTCACGCCTTATGCTAGTTCATGCTAGCACCATATGTTAGTTCATTATGCTAGTTTATGCTAGCGCCTTATATTAGTTCACGCATTATGCTAGTTCATGCTAGTGCCATATGCTAGTTCATGCTAGCGCCTTATGCTAGTTCATGCTAGTGCCTTATGCTAGTTCATGCTGGCGCATCATGCTAGTTCATTATGCTAGTTCATGATAGCGCCATATGTTAGTTCATTATGCTAGTGCCTTATGCTAGTTTATGCTAGCACCTTATACTAGTCCACGCTAGTGCATCATGCTAGTTCATTATGCTAGTTCATGTTAATCCTCCCATCTGTCCACCCGTCCCTCTGTCTGATTTAACATTAAACAGGAAAGGCTTTGAGCTGAGAGGTGGAGGAGGAGGTGGAGGTTTGGAGGAGGTGCAGCTCTTCCCTGTGAGGAGCTGAGCATCAGGAGCGTCGGCGGGGCCGGGGTTAGGTATCACATACCGGGGGCCCCGGATCCCAAATCAGCCTCGTCTAGACTCTCTGGCACCTGCGTCTGCTCATTTACCGCAGACGGCCACCGGGGGCCGCCGGGGGCCCGCAGCCTGCTCCGCCTCCGCTGCTGCTCCTGGACGGTGACCCCATTGAAGGGGTGGGGGGGTCAGACCAGTGAGAAGTGGCCGAGCCTCGGAGGAGGAAAGGTGGGAACAGAAGTTTATGTTTTCACACCTGGACGGACCTGCTGAGTCAGCAGAGACTTTCTGGGACTAAAGTCAACAATAAGGCAGAAAACATGTTTACGGGGTTTTAAAAGTATTCATGACCTTTGAACCTCGATGTTTGTTTCACTTTACAAACACAAACAGAAGGAAAAGTGTGTCCTCCCCCATTTCTCTCCTTCCAGTCAAAGACATTATGGACTGGGTTAGAATGGCCTAGTCAAAGTCCAGACCTTAATTAGGGACGATATAGACTCAGAAGTTTAATCACAATATTTTGTTGTTATAATAAAAGTTGGAACAACGCTCCCATCCGTAACGCATGTCTTTAGGACACCAGTCAGGTTTATATCGGTAAACTGAACAACATGACTGCATTTCCACTTTTATTGGAATTTTATCGATGCTTTAATTAAACAAACACGGGAGAGAATAAAAGAAAGCTATGAATCCCCACAGTAAGGACTGTTAAAGTGTTTTAAATATTATTCATTGAAAATTACCACAAAAAAAAAAACAATAAATCAAAATACTTAGAAAAAATGTTAATGATGTGATAAATGTGCATCCTTGACCTGAATCCCACTGGGAATCAGTAGAAATGGTTGAAACTGATGATTTCAGACGTGTTTCATGGAAGCAGAACCTTCAGAAGACGACAGAGTCGATGGAGGAAAACATCTGCAGAAAACTGATTCAGGAAGCTGAAGGTTTATTTCCCACGTTAATAAAATCTGGTTCTTCACATTAAACCTGTCATATTATCAGATGAAAGCTCCTCGATTTTTCCTCCATATCATATTTCTCACACCTCAGAGATTCTGAAAGCATGAAAAAAAATCAAGTAAAATGAAAACATTCAGGTCATAAAACTTAATGAAGCTAACAGTTAAACGTATTAATCCATAACGTCTGTAAATGAGGCTCAATCAGCTGCTAACGTCCAACGATCTGATCGGTTTGGTTGGGCTGCAAACAAATACAATTATCACTCATTCATGTTCGATCCTCTCTTCAGGATCATGTGTTCATCTTTATGCTCCCCAAAGAAGAGAACTAAATTAAAGAAAGAAAAAAAAAGCAAATCTAATTTTGAAGGAGGTTTATTATAACAGATCTATAATTTCTAAATGATTTCTAAATTTTACTCTCCGTCTTCAGACTAAAACTAAAAGTCTGAGGATCTCAGCTGTGGATGTGAGAAAAAACATTCATCTCTTTCATTTAGTCCAAGTCTCTCAGCAGGATCAGTGAGAGCGAGGAAGGCGGGGCCGAGGTCAGAGGTCACATCCTGGTCACGCTGCCGAGGTTCTGATCTGCTGCCGACTCGACCTTCTGAACAAACAGCAGAGCCTCACATCCACATCTGGACAGCATTTACACTCAATCCCAGCAAGCTAACGCCGCGCGGCGCCGACCAATCGGCTGACAGGAGAGGAGCCGGCGACCGGGTCGGCTGGCAACCGGGTCGGCCGGGTCAGGAGGGAGCGCCCGCAACGCAGCGACTGACGCTCCAAAACTCCCAGCAAATCAGCCTGAGGGGGAAACTTTGTTTTCCCACAGAGCGAATCTGATTCTGGGCTGATCTGGATCAGAACCGCAGACAGAACCTGGACAAATGTCAGGGCGGGTTCCTTCTCTCTCAGCCGATTGTAAATAATTTAGGTTATAAGACGGGTTGATTTTTAAAAGTCAAACTTTCACCATGTTATTAATACACTTATAAATGTCATAGATTAAAAAACTTCATTAGAAACATAATTATTAATTTTATGCATTAAAATTAATTTTATTTTATCAAGGAAAATATTTAGCATGACTTTAAATATTCAGATCAAAACTAAATATTTAGCCTTCTACCAACAAATATAATTAGCAAAATCAATAATTAGATTCAAACCAAATAAAATAATCTTGTTAAATATTTACTTTGCTAACTAATCTGTAAAATAAATAACTAGATGTTTAGCTAACTAACTAAATATTTGGTGTGCTTGAATTTAAATATCTAGTTTGAAGCTGGGATTAGCTGTAAATATTAGGTCAGAGCTAAATATTAATGCTAATTTGTCAATTTGTTTTTGGAAGTGGACTATCAAAATAAAAGCCGGGTCTTACAAGCTGCTATATAAACTAGATTCATTGGAAATTATTTACATTCCCCTTAAATTGCTAATCCTAAGTTTAAAGCTGATCTGTCAAACATGTCACAAGAGGAAAACGGGCCCAGAACCCGGTCAGAACCCGAACCCATGCCAGGCTCTGTTCCCTCCCATCGTCTCTAACTGCGGGCGCTTCGGTCTGCGGGCGCCTCGACGTTAGCCAGTCTTACCTGCGGTATGCAGTCGGTGTGAGCAAACACGGACTTGAATGCGTCGTCCATGCTGATGTGGTACAGGACGCACACGGCCCGCTGCCTCTGCACCTCGTCAGCTGCAACACAAACACATGCAGGAGGCGGGTCAGCCATGAATGACCGCTTGTCCCGCAACGCGCCGCAGGACGCCGCCGACCACATCCAGGAGGGGCCCACTGTTCCTTTGCAAATATCACCGGCCTGAATGGACTGTTTAACAGCCGGGGGTCGGAGGTCAACCGCAGGCGGCTGCAGCTTCTCACGGCTCTGCAGCCGACAGTAAAAAACAGAAAACTACAGTTGGCTCAAAACAAACAGTTTTTACACTTTCGACATCTTTCATCTTCACATTGGTCCTGAAGGGCTGCAGTTTGCTGCAGTTTGCTGCAGTTTGTTGCAGTTTGCTGCAGTTTGTTGCAGTTTGCTGCAGTTTGCTGCAGTTTGTTGCAGTTTGCTGCAGTTTGTTGCAGTTTGCTGCAGTTTGTTGCAGTTTGCTGCAGTTTGTTTCTTGTTGCTGTTTTCTTCATGAATTATCAAAGATAAATTAGATTCGTTCAAGCAGTGCTGCTATTTCATCAATTTAACAATTAAACAGAAGAATAGAAGCAGCTTTTATTGCCCTGCAAATGGAAAATTCAGGTGCAACTGCAGCGTCCTATTCAAACTAAAAGTTAAAAACTGAAAATAAAAAACAAGACTAACAATGATAATAGTAAAAACAATAATATGTAATAGCAAACTGAAAAGTTCAAATACTACGAATTTATTAAAAAGCAGTGGGACTCGTGATGCCCAGATCTCGTTTCCATCACAGGCAGAGAATTAAACTCCGGGACAAAAACAGACGTCGCTTCGTTTTCTTATTTTACGCTTTGATCATAAACTGTGATTTTATTTAACGCTTTAAAACCTTTGAGGATTTTCCTGGGATTGTTGAAGATTCCTGCTGAATGTTTCTCTGACAATGTTTTATCCCATTTGTGTCTGATTATTGATTATTGATCATTAGATTTGCAGAATCTTTAATGTTTAAAGCTGAGCTGCAGGGAGGTAGACAGAGACCAGACCGGACCGGACCGGACCAGACCGGACCGGACCGGACCGGCAGCTTTATGGGTTTGACCCGGAGAATTAACGGGCCTCAGAGCGCAGTCTGATGTGTTAAGAGAGCAGATTATCACCGAACCAGAACCAGCGCCCAACCACGCCCCGGCCACCGGCCTGACCCGGTTTAAACCGGTCCCTGTCCAAACGGCGGGTCAGAATCAGAACCAGATGAAGCCCAGGGAGGGAAGGTGAGTTCTGCTGTCACTTTAATTGGGAAACCAGGAGGAAGCATCAATTTTACTGCCTTTAATAAGTTTCAGTCTCAGTTTTCAGAACATCTGCTTCTCATTAGCCAGAACCAGAACCAGAACACACATTAAGGTGATTTCCCCCCTGATGGTCCGGTCGACCCGGTTCTACTGGAACCAGAACTCCACCATCTGCTCCAACTCCAGCTGCTGTGGTTCTGACCCAAACCAGACTGTTCCCCTCCTGGCCTGTGGGGGCGCTGCACCAACAACCACTGCAGGAAACGACACTAAGACCTCTGAAGACACTAAGAGCAACTTCCTGTTTCACCAGAGGAAACAAGATGGAGGCGTCAGAGTTTAGTGATTTCTCTTTAGTCTTTGGCTGAAGACCAGGAGCCATTTCTGCTGCTAACGCTAGGCTAGCATGTTAGCTTTGGTTGTATTTACCCAGAATGCCCTGCTGTAGTCCACTTCCTGGTTTTGGAGCGGATTCTGGTCATATTCAAACTGAACCAGAGTTCAGTTCAACCAGAGGTCAGAGGTCAATAAGCGTTCACACCTCACCAACAGAACCGGAGTTGGGTTAAACCGGACTGAACTGTGTGGATGGAGTCTAGACTGATGGACGGTTTACTGGGAGAGCTCCAGTTCCACCAGTGATTTAAAGCAGCGCCTGGATTAGCAGCTCTCACTGTTTCCCAGTTAGCAGCTGGAACTAACTGGTTTTAAACCAGTCGGAGACTCACACCAAGATGCTTCATCATCATCATCGCTTAATGGATGACCTGTAATTTAGGGGCGTTAAACTCACATTGATGAGATTAAACCCAGACCACTATCAGCCTTAATCCCATTAATCCCATCAGCTGGGAGTCTTCCCAGCAACCAACAGGTCCCACTTTTACAAACGAAGATGATTTATTCCTGATTTTATTGGACTGAGACAATTTAAGATCAAGTTTTATTGTATTTTAGTCCAAATTTATATTGATTATTTTATGTAGCATAAATAAATTCTACTATTTATTGTTAAGTTTTAAGTATCAGCATTTCAGAATCTATGCCATCTATATCTATGTCTGCTTCCACAGAGTCTTTAACGACCATAAGGATCCAACAGATGTTTTAAAATTTACATATAATAATAAATACAGTTTTATTTCCAGTAATATTTCATCCAGTCAGGAATGTTTCGTTTGGATAATTTTATATCAGCTTCCTGTAGAGAAAAATGTGATTTTATGGCAGAAATGTTCATATTTCTCTTGATTATGAAACCTAAAAGCATTCTGATTCTCTAAAAACTTTCTGAGGTCATATTTGTATAAAAATGATCTGTTTTCTTTTTTAAAGGGTCACATCGACATTCCTTCACATCTCCACTCTGATTGGCTCATTTTATGGTCGTTATTGATTCACGGCCTGCTGTTTGACTTGATGTAAACAGTTTTGCTGCTGTTCCTGTGGATGAAGCTGCCGCCGCTGCAGAGCTTGCTCAGCAGCGGCAGCAGACGGGTCGGACATCGCTCCGGTGTCATCCGGGGCATCACACAGGTCTTCCTTCAGGTCAGCGACGGTTTTGGACCAAACGGGAGGGGATCTGATCTCCAGGGGTCACGACCTCTCGTCAGGCCTCCTCTCCTTTCAGGAGCAGCGGTGGATGAAAGGCGGGAAGCCGGCGGATGATTGATGGCGCCGGCGTTGGCGTGCAGAGCCCAGCGGACTCTCGCTGATTCAGGCCGACCCAACAGTGTCACAACTTTGAGGCGGCGCAATATTTCAGGGAACTTCCTGCAGGACCCCCCCCCGTCTGACCCCCCCCAGTTCCCCCTTCTCCCCCGAACCTCTGAAGACTCCTTCGCTTCTCCGACTCGCTGCTACAAAAACAAGCTGAGCGCAGAGGTTCTGCCGTGTTATTCTAACAAATATATTCCGTTAATTATGTTCTGCTATCGGATCCGCCCCCGGAGACGCCGCAGAGCCCCCGCCCAGACACGATGCCCGTAACCACGGAAACCACTTACCCAGCAGAGAGGAGAGCCTGGGAACGAGGCCGACCCGGACCATCTGGCCGCGCAGCGCCGTGTCGAAGGACAGGTTGAGCAGCAGCCGACAGGTGGCGCTCTGGAGCTCCTGGTGGTCGCAGGGGAGCAGGCGGGCCAGCTTCTCCACGGCGGCCGCCTCCGCCTGGGGGGGACAGGGAGCCACGGTCAGAACACGGCAGGGCCCGGTCCAATGACCAGAAGGATTAGAACCAGGCAGGGAGGAGCTCAGCTCTGCAGCACCAGGAGGTCAACCCAACGGCTCCACAGAGCCGAGGAGGAGGAGGAGGAAGGTCAGGGCAACGAGCCTCAAGTTTAAATATCTGGAGGGCGGGAGTCCGTGAAAAAATAAAACTTTAAAATACGGCAGACAGAAGAACCACAGAGACCCAGCTGCTTCCTGTTACAGACCCAGCTGCTTCCTGTTACAGACCTGGCTGCTTCCTGTTACAGACCCAGCTGCTTCCTGTTACAGACCCAGCTGCTTCCTGTTACAGACCCAGCTGCTTCCTGTTACAGACCTGGCTGCTTCCTGTTACAGACCCAGCTGCTTCCTGTTACAGACCTGGCTGCTTCCTGTTACAGACCCAGCTGCTTCCTGTTACAGACCCAGCTGCTTCCTGTTACAGACCTGGCTGCTTCCTGTTACAGACCTGGCTGCTTCCTGTTACAGACCCGGCTGCTTCCTGTTACAGACCCAGCTGCTTCCTGTTACAGACCCAGCTGCTTCCTGTTACAGACCCAGCTGCTTCCTGTTACAGACCCAGCTGCTTCCTGTTACAGACCCAGCTGCTTCCTGTTACAGACCCAGCTGCTTCCTGTTACAGACCCAGCTGCTTCCTGTTACAGACCCAGCTGCTTCCTGTTACAAACCTGGCTGCTTCCTGTTACAGACCCGGCTGCTTCCTGTTACAGACCCAGCTGCTTCCTGTTGCAGACCCAGCTGCTTCCTGTTACAGACCCAGCTGCTTCCTGTTACAAACCTGGCTGCTTCCTGTTACAGACCCGGCTGCTTCCTGTTACAGACCCAGCTGCTTCCTGTTGCAGACCCAGCTGCTTCCTGTTACAAACCTGGCTGCTTCCTGTTACAGACCCGGCTGCTTCCTGTTACAGACCCAGCTGCTTCCTGTTACAAACCTGGCTGCTTCCTGTTACAAACCTGGCTGCTTCCTGTTACAGACCCAGCTGCTTCCTGTTACAGACCCGGCTGCTTCCTGTTACAGACCCAGCTGCTTCCTGTTACAGACCCAGCTGCTTCCTGTTACAAACCTGGCTGCTTCCTGTTACAGACCCGGCTGCTTCCTGTTACAGACCCAGCTGCTTCCTGTTACAGACCCGGCTGCTTCCTGTTACAGACCCGGCTGCTTCCTGTTGCAGACCTGGCTGCTTCCTGTTAGAAACCCGGCTGCTTTCTGTTGCAGCTGCCAGGATGATTCTGGGTTCAGTTCTGCAAACATCTGGACTTGATGCTAGTTGCATCTTTTCCCTTCAACCAGTTAATCCGGACCCAGAACCAGAACCAGACCCGGAACCAGAACCCGGTCTCTGTGGTTGCTGCCCGGTATTAGAAACTGGGCTGTTCCTCCCGTCCTGCAGGTGGAAGCGTTGAGCTGATGAACGTCTCGGCTCAGAATTGGACCTGGGTTCTGAACGGATCAGAGCGAAGCCACTGGTTCAGATGTTGCTCTGACCCGACCTGCTCCCAGTTAAACCAGTTGCTGCTACTGTGTGGGAAACCAGCAGAGCTGCTTAATCAGCTGCAGCCTGAATCAATTACAGCCGGAGTTCAGCTTCCATCTGTGCGACCCGGGTCCAGCCGCTGAGCAGAACCGTTAACCGGACCCATTAACCAACCAGAACCTTCCTGCTGGACATTTACTCTGAATCAAAGATGCAGAATAAACCGGGTCCGAACCGGGTCTGGTCCTGATAAAAACCCTCGACTGACTGAATCAAACCAATTCTGTGAATCAGAATTGGATCAAAGTTCCTCCATAATTAATCTGAACTTAACAATTTGGATTAATAAACATTAAAAATTACAAACTTTAACCAACTTACTGAAGCTTTCAGTCACTTTTACAACATCGTTTAAAGTCCAAAACAGAAATACTTTCAGGTTCAATATTTTGGTTTCAATCTGAGTCTGGATTACAGAAGTTTTCTAGAGACGACACAAGAAAAACAGTAGAAGAGAAACCCTCCGACTCTCCAAGTAGTTCCTTCTGTTTTGATCATCATGTTTAGTTTTGTTGTTTTCCTGTTGCGGTTACCATGTCGTTCTTGTTCTCCAGGAAGATGGAGAGCTTCTTGAGGAAGTTCACGGCCACCAGCAGCAGCTCCTGGTCGTCGCGCTCCAGCAGCTTCACCAGCATCTGGACGATGTTTTTGTTCCTCATCTTCAGCTCGGTCCGCGTGTCCTCGGCCAGATTCAGCAGTAGATACAGAGACACTGCAGAGACCAGGAGCAGACAGAGGTTCACCTGTCTGGGCGGGGTCATAGCTGGAGGTCAAGTTGAAGGTCACAGCGGGAGGCCTGGAGGTTTGGACCTTTGAGTAGCTTCTCCTGCTTGGCCAGCAGACTCCGGTACTTCCTCAGCGACTTGTCGAGATCCTTCCTAAGACTCTGGTTGTCGGGGAACTCGTCAGGTGAATCTCGTTAAGGAGCTCAGACCTGCGGCGGAATGTCAATCAGCTGCGCGGCTGCAGGGCGGGTTGAAAGGATATCGGCCTTCTTCTTCTTCTGCAGCTCGTCCTGCCACAACTCGCAGCGCTTCAGCTCGTGCTCCGTGATGTTCATGCAGACGGCGCCGATCTTGAAGTGGGTCACCAGCCTGTGAAACTGGGAGAAGCTGGGAAAAAAATCCAGGAATCTAAACCTGGAAGCTGCAGAGAAACTACAAGTTTACAAAGAGACGCATTCTAATCTCACCAAGTGAAATCAAACCTAACTTCTCCTGTCACTAACATATTGGTATGTGACAGCAGCGCCATGTTGTCCTGTGTTCACCTGGAGAAGCAGAAGAAGACGGAAACGATGGTGGTTGCCAGGTCAACGCTCTGCTTCCAGTCCTCTCTCAGCACTCTGGCCAGCGCTCCCAGTACCGCCTCTGAAACACAGTCAGCGACTGCGTCAGCGACTGCATCAGCGACTGCATCACCGACTGCGTCAGCGACTGCATCACCGACTGCGTCAGCGACTGCATCAGCGACTGCATCACCGACTGCGTCAGCGACTGCATCACCGACTGCGTCAGCGACTGCATCACCGACTGCATCAACGACTGCATCAACGACTGCGTCAGCGACTGTGTCAGCGACTGCATCAGCGACTGCATCACCGACTGCATCAGCGACTGCATCAACGACTGCGTCAGCGACTGTGTCAGTGACTGCATCACCGACTGCGTCAGCGACTGCATCACCGACTGCGTCAGCGACTGCGTCAGCGACTGCATCACCGACTGCATCACCGACTGCGTCAGCGACTGCGTCAGCGACTGCATCACCGACTGCATCAACGACTGCATCACCGACTGCATCAACGACTGCATCAGCGACTGCGTCAGCGACTGCATCACCGACTGCATCAACGACTGCATTAACGACTGCGTCAGCGACTGCGTCAGCGACTGCATCAGCGACTGCATCACCGACTGCATCAGCGACTGCGTCAACGACTGCGTCAATGACTGCGTCACCGACTGCGTCAACGACTGCGTCAGCGACTGCATCACCGACTGCATCAACGACTGCATTAACGACTGCGTCAGCGACTGCGTCAGCGACTGCATCAGCGACTGCATCACCGACTGCATCAACGACTGCGTCAACGACTGCGTCAATGACTGCGTCACCGACTGCGTCAGCGACTGCGTCAACGACTGCGTCAATGACTGCGTCACCGACTGCGTCAGCGACTGCGTCAGCGACTGCATCAGCGACTGCATCAACGACTGCATCAACGACTGCATCAGGGACTGCATCAACGACTGCATCAACGACTGCGTCAGCGACTGCATCAGCGACTGCATCACCGACTGCATCAACGACTGCATCACCGACTGCATCAGCGACTGCATCACCGACTGCGTCAGCGACTGCGTCAGCGACTGCATCACCGACTGCATCACCGACTGCGTCAGCGACTGCGTCAGCGACTGCATCACCGACTGCATCAACGACTGCATCACCGACTGCATCAACGACTGCATCACCGACTGCGTCAGCGACTGCGTCAGCGACTGCATCACCGACTGCATCAACGACTGCATCAACGACTGTGTCAGTGACTGCATCAGCGACTGCATCACCGACTGCATCAGCGACTGCGTCAACGACTGCGTCAATGACTGCGTCACCGACTGCGTCAACGACTGCGTCAGCGACTGCATCACCGACTGCATCAACGACTGCATTAACGACTGCGTCAGCGACTGCGTCAGCGACTGCATCAGCGACTGCATCACCGACTGCATCAACGACTGCGTCAACGACTGCGTCAATGACTGCGTCACCGACTGCGTCAGCGACTGCGTCAACGACTGCGTCAATGACTGCGTCACCGACTGCATCAGCGACTGCGTCAGCGACTGCGTCAGCGACTGCGTCAGCGACTGCATCAACGACTGCATCAACGACTGCATCAGGGACTGCATCAACGACTGCATCACCGACTGCATCAACGACTGCATCAGCGACTGCATCACCGACTGCGTCAGCGACTGCATCAGCGACTGCATCACCGACTGCATCAACGACTGCATCAACGACTGCATCAACGACTGCATCAATGACTGCATCAACGACTGCGTCAGCGACTGCATCAGCGACTGCGTCAGCGACTGCATCACCGACTGCATCAACGACTGCATCAACGACTGCATCAACGACTGCATCAATGACTGCATCAACGACTGCGTCAGCGACTGCATCAGCGACTGCATCAGCGACTGCATCACCGACTGCGTCAGCGACTGCATCAACGACTGCATCAACGACTGTGTCAGTGACTGCATCAGCGACTGCATCACCGACTGCACCACAGACTGCATCAACGACTGCGTCAGCGACTGCATCAGCGACTGCATCACCGACTGCACCACAGACTGCATCAATGACTGCGTCACCGACTGCGTCAGCGACTGCATCACCGACTGCATCAACGACTGCATCAGCGACTGCATCACCGACTGCGTCACCGACTGCATCACCGACTGCGTCAGCGACTTCATCAGCGACTGCGTCAGCGACTGCATCACCGACTGCATCACCGACTGCATCACCGACTGCATCAGCGACTGCGTCAGCGACTGCGTCAGCGACTGCATCACCGACTGCATCAACGACTGTGTCAATGACTGCGTCACCGACTGCGTCAGCGACTGCGTCACCGACTGCATCACCGACTGCGTCAGCGACTGCGTCAGCGACTGCATCAGCGACTGCATCAACGACTGCATCAATGACTGCGTCACCGACTGCATCAACGACTGCATCAACGACTGCGTCAGCGACTGCATCAACGACTGCATCACCGACTGCACCACAGACTGCATCAACGACTGCGTCAGCGACTGCATCAACGACTGCGTCAGCGACTGCATCAAGGACTGCATCAACGACTGCATCAACGACTGCGTCAGCGACTGCATCAACGACTGCGTCACCGACTGTATCAGCGACTGCATCAACGACTGCGTCACCGACTGCATCAACGACTGCGTCAGCGACTGCATCAGCGACTGCATCACCGACTGCACCACAGACTGCATCAACGACTGCGTCAGTGACTGCATCAACGACTACGTCAGTGACTGCATCAACGACTGCGTCACCGACTGCATCAGCGACTGCGTCAGCAACTGCGTCAGCATCACGGTGCTGCGTCACCGACTGCGTTAGCGTCACCGTGCTGCGTCACTGTTACCATGCTGCATCAGCTCCTCCAGGTTATCCGGGTTTTGGGCCAGCTGGAAGATGAGCGCGGCGCCATGGATCTTCTCCTGGATCTCTTCGTACAGCAGCTCCACGTACTCGTCGATGCCGCCGATGCTCGCCTCCTCCAGCTGCAACACAGGTTGACCCGGTTGACCCGGACGCTGCAGAGGACCGGCGGCGGTCAGGCGGTCGGCTCATACCTCCACTCCGGCGTACAGCGCGAAGTCCCGAGGCGAGACGTTCTTCTTCTGCTGGTTGTCTGTGGAAAAGATGGATGGGCTGAGAGCGGGATCCAGACACAGGGAGCAGGACGCGAGGCGGGTTTGGTACCGCTGCTCTGTTTCCGGTTCTGCAGGTAGAAGAGCAGCTGCTCCACCTCGGCCAGTCTGGACGGATGGATGAGTTGACATTCCTCCACCACCTTGTGGGCCAGAGAAGCCGTGTCCGTGTTGGCGTTCAGGCTCTTCAGGCGGATCCTGGGACAAACACTCGGCTCATCAAAACCAGAGACCAGATATTAAGATCCCAATCCATTCTCTCTCATTCTGTACTTTTTGCCACGTCATATGATTTATTCTACATTATATTCAGAATTTTTAACCATTAAAAAGAAATATTGTTTATTTTCCCATGTCTGGCTGAACCTGCTGTTTCTGTCAGTTTCAGTTTCTTCATTATTTCTTCATGATCTCCTGGTTTCACTGGCTGCTGAAGCTGTTGGTGTGTTGCAGTTATCAGGTTCATTTGAGATTCACTATATTTAAGATTAGGTTAGAAAAAATAAACATTTTAAGTAAATTCATCTGATTGGCCGATACTAAACCTCAGATATCAGAAGTGGAAAAGATGGATCAGTTCATCCCAAGTTAAAACTGAATCATTTCAGTTCAACACTTTCATTTCCTCACATTTTCTGACAGTCTTTTCGCTCTTCCACCACCGGTTCTCCCAGTTCTCCCAGTATGGTGGCCTCCACCTCGTACTGGACCACCAGAGCCTTCTCAGTGGGGTGGACGTCCAGAGAGCATCCCGTCACCCTCCTTCAGGCCCAGAAACACGGGAAATGGAGAGAATAAAACTCTGCTCAGATTTTAACTCCGACTGCCAGTTAAAATATTTATTTTACTCTCATAGAAATATTATGCAGCATAAACACAGCTCAATTAAATGAATGCCAATATCAGCATCGCTCTCGATGCTGAGCAAATACTCATGGGTTTTATTAAATGTTTCATTGATTCCCTCAATAAATTATATATATTTTTATTTAACCCAGGTGTTAAAAATGGCAGCAACATTAATTTCAACTTTGTACTTGTATTTAAAAAATTAAACGCGTATAAACAAGATGCAGATATGCTAAACAAAATATATAAATATAAAAAAATACTATAAATAAAATATGAAAATTTGTAGATTTACAATAAATGACAAATTAAAACGTTACATTTTAAATAGGTTCAGTTTAAGAAAATCATAAAAGTCTTAAAGGAAAGAGATTTGCAAATTAAATTAGTAAATTATTATTATTCTTAGATGCAGCAAAAAGAACAAATTAAATATTAAATATTAGGAAGAACCACGCCCCCCTGCTGCTGCCATGGCAACAGGTTTCAGGCCGCTTCTCGGAGCAAAACGAGATTTTAATAATCATATTTATATAAAGGCCTGAACTGCTGTGAGGCGGAACGCGAGCCGTGACGTCATGCTTCCGGTCTCACCTCTTCAGACAGCGCGGCTCCATGTCAGACAGGCTGAGTCCAGTTTCACCTGCAGGGACGAGCAGCAGCAGGACACGCAGACCGGATGTTGTCTGTCAGCTCAGCCTGTTGCCAGGAGGCTCACCGGAAACAGAGCGACTGGCCGCTGCTGCCCCCTGCTGGTGTGGCTGTTAGAAACACCTCTACACCCGGAAACAATAAAACCAAACGAGAACAACTGTGACGTAGAGAAAACAACGTGAGTGATTTTAGTTTTTCAGTTTCATGTTAGTTTTAGGGAAACTTTTATTCAGTGAGAGCAAAGATAAACATTTCTGCTTGGCTTGAAAATGTTCTTCAGGATTCAGAAGGAATTTCATGTCAGCCATTTTTTATTCCTGTGTGGCTCAGCAAGATGCACTGAATTTGGCTGTTGGAGAAAGAACAGCCTCTTTTAAGAATACTTAAAAATGTCTCTACCAGGATCAAAAATGATTCCTGTAAAACTTCCTCTTTCAGACTGAAGTGCGTCTGCAGAGCTGATGGATGCTGCAGACCGAGGTCAGGAGGTCAACACCAGGCCCAACGCAGCGGCCGACCTGAGGAAAGGTCAAAAGGTGTCGCTGCTCATGGCTGAGTTTGCCTCTGGCTCAGTGAGTTGGAGCCAAGCTGCAGCTTCTGCATGGCTGTACTTTAGTTCATCTGCTGTTTTATGATTCAGTGAACAAATCACTGCTGAGAAGATCTGAGAAAACAAACTGACCGAAACGTCGTCCTCAGACTGGACGTCTCTAAAGGACTAAATAACAAAGACTATACAAGTTTATTTTTTAACGTCATAGAAGACAAAGATTGATGTTTGAAATGATCAAACCATCCAGCATGGTGGTGGCAGAATCATGCTGTGGGATGTTTCTCTGCCACTAATACTCGATTGTGTTCATGATGGGATGGTTCGCACGACGTTCGCTCTCGATGCTGGGCAAAATCGTCATGGTGATTTCTCTGACCTTAAAACATAAAACATCTCCTATCAAACAAAGACAAACGTCAGAAAAGCAAAATGAAATATTTAGTTTGACTCGTTGAAGTGTTTTGTTGAAGCGGACGGTCACAGAACCGGCCCGGCGGATTGGCTCTCCTGAAAACATTTGCTGGTCTCAGCAGCAGCAGGCCATCTGTGATGTCATCGCTCTAATTTTATCCTCTGGCTGTCAGGAACCAGGCGGAGACATTTGTGTGAAGGGTCAGAAACGATTCCCAGGCAGATCGACTGATACTTTGGTTCCAGCAGATCAACGGCAAAGAAGAGAGAAAATAATTCACACAGATGCTCTGCTGATCCACTAAACCCAAACTGGGAATTCAAACTTTCTAATGAAGAGTGAAATTTAAATCTCTCAAGTTTAGTTTTGGTATTTGTTCACCAAAATAATTCATTTCTAATTTTAGAACAATGTTTCTGCAGAATCTCTACATTTCATGTTTATAGTTTCAAATTTGTTTTGAGATTCAAAGAGCAAAATAAAAGTCTACAGTTTTATTATTGTGAGCACATTGCAGACTGATAAGAACCACAACACTAAATGTCAATACAACTATCTCTGCACTGTGAATACTCACTTCATTTATTTATCTAGAGATGTGAGAATAAAAGGCCGGGCCGAGAACGGCGCCCTGAGGCGCTCCTGTTTCCCCGAGTCGCAATAAAAACATGTGAATGTGTCGGGATGGCTAACAGACCTTCAGAGGAAACAAATCGATACAAAAGACCAAATATTTATTAGAAATATTCAAAAGCTTATTTTACTGACCTACTCAGAAAGTTTATTCAAATATTTACTCTTTAACAGATTTCCATTGGAAAAGAGCTTTATTTGGCTTTTTAATTTGTTGGTGACTTTTTAGTGGCACTAATCAGGGGAACCGGGACGTTTGGGCCGGTTTCCTCTTTCGGGTTTTGTTTTCATGTCCCTGGAAACGGTGGATTGATCAATGACTGTCCAGCGGTGCACTGTTAATTATGTCAGGTCATAATTACATGATTAACAGTAATAGGCGGTGGGCAGGTCAGAGGCATGAAACTCCAGAGCTGAAATGATCCCCACTGCGGCGCCGGTCCAGTTCTGTTAGTGACACCAGTCAGAGCTCAGCATGGTGGGCAGGTCGCATCAGAGTGCCAACAGATATTCACACATTTAGGACTTACTGCAAGAGCCCTGGCATGATAAACTCAATGTATCATGATGTTGGTGCCAGTTTGCAGAGTGAAGATGATGCATTTCAATGTGGAACGTCTCCTTCCAAACCGTTTACTCACAGGAACGACTGGAGACCTGACGGCCAGATTAAAGTTGTGACTCTCAGGCCAAACTGTTGGATTCTCATGTTCTGGACGGGAATTTCAAACCTTTAAGCTGTGAAGTGAGGCGTCTTCCTGCTGGCCAGGACAGGTTTCAGCTCCAAGCCTCCCTCCCTCCCAGCAGGTGATGTGTAAATCTGGAAGGACCTCCAGAGTGAAAAGGATCTCTGCTGATCACTGAACACCGTCACAGGCGTGTTGATCACTCAGCCGGACAGATATAGCAGCGTCCCAGACTGGAGCTGCAGAATCCGAAGCGTCAGTCGCCTTCACGCCGTTTCTGGAGACCAACACTGGTGGAAGAAACATGGAGATTACCCTTGAAGACAAAAACCACAACTCTTCAGGAAACTTTGAGTTCAAGGCGGCTCATCAGGCGTTCAGGGACCGCTGGAAGGAGACGGACGACACCATGTGTCGCCACAGCATGTCCTTCCACCTGCACCACAAACTCCAGAGCGACTTCTTCGCCAGCTACCTGTACCTGATGGAGAAGATCCCTCTGGGTAAGATGCATCGCTCGCAGGTTGGGTCATTCGCTCCCTCTGAAGCTTTCAGATCCACACAAGGAAACATTTATTTAGACTGAGTAATCGCACCTTCACATCTATTAGTTTGAAAGATTAAATGAATCTTTGGGACTCGTTCAGAGAAGGTTGACAGTAAATTTTCTGAAATATTCAGGTCAGATTGTGTTCCTTAAATTCAAACTCTTGAGTTTCAGATTTTTGTAGAATCAAACAAGTTTACACAAATTAAAAAGATTCTGACAAAGTACATTTTATTCTAAAAACAACTAATTTGCATCTGAAGTTTCTTTACAAATTACAAATATGCATATTATTACATTTTAAATCATTTTTTCTAGATGCTAATTACCTTTTTCTATAACAATAATGTAGTAAAGTCAAATGGTGACATTTATGTGGGTTGTACGTTGTTCCTGTTTAAATAAAGTTCACCATCATATCATTAAAACAATTTTCAGAACATTCAAAGATTTTCTAAAACTGTTTCTATTAGATGTCATAAACTGAGTCTAAGTTAAGATGCTGCATGAGACATTAGCTCTTTAGTCATAGCACCAGCCATTATGGTTTTGATAGGACGATATTTTGATAATTTTGAACTGACGCTGAACTTCATCAACGGGCTGCAGACGAGCAGCAGTTCTACTCTCAGCTCCTCCCAGACGATGGAGACCCTTGTCTTATCCTCTCCAGTTTTTGGAAGCGCCTTAGGGACGGTACGGGCCTCAGACGGTACAACATGGGCCTCAGATGGTACAATATGGGCCTCAGACGATATGGGCCTCAGACGATATGGGTCTCAGACGGTACGGGCCTCAGACGGTACGGTACGGGCCTCAGACGGTACGGTACGGGCCTCAGACGGTACGGTACGGGCCTCAGACGGTACAATATGGGCCTCAGACGGTACGGTACGGGCCTCAGACGGTACAATATGGGCCTCAGACGGTACGGTATGGGCCTCAGACGATACGGTAAGGGCCTCAGACGGTACAATAAGGGCCTCAGATGGTACGGTATGGGCCTCAGACGGTACGGTATGGGCCTCAGACAGTACGATAAGGGCCTCAGACGGTACGGTATGGGCCTCAGACGGTACAATATGGGCCTCAGACGGTACGGTATGGGCCTCAGACGGTACAATATGGGCCTCAGACGGTACAATAAGGGCCTCAGACGGTACGGTATGGGGCCTCAGACGGTACGGTATGGGGCCTCAGACGGTACGGTATGGGCCTCAGACGGTACGGTATGGGCCTCAGACGGTACGGTAAGGGCCTCAGACGGTACGGTATGGGGCCTCAGACGGTACGGTAAGGGCCTCAGACGGTACGATAAGGGCCTCAGACGGTACGGTATGGGCCTCAGACGGTACGGTATGGGGCCTCAGACGGTACGGTGTGGGCCTCAGACGGTACGGTAAGGGCCTCAGACGGTACAATAAGGGCCTCAGACGGTACGGTATGGGCCTCAGACGGTACAATATGGGCCTCAGACGGTACGGTGTGGGCCTCAGACGGTACGGTAAGGGCCTCAGACGGTACAATAAGGGCCTCAGACGGTACGGTATGGGCCTCAGACGGTACAATATGGGCCTCAGACGGTACGGTAAGGGCCTCAGACGGTACGATAAGGGCCTCAGACGGTACGGTATGGGCCTCAGACGGTACGGTATGGGCCTCAGACGGTACGGTATGGGGCCTCAGACGGTACGGTATGGGGCCTCAGACGATATGGGCCTCAGATGGTATGGTATGGACCCTCAGACGATATGGGCCTCAGACGGTATGGGCCTCAGATGGTACAATATGGGCCTCAGACGGTACAATATGGGCCTCAGACGGTACAATATGGGCCTGAGACGGTACGGTATGGGGCCTCAGACGGTACAATATGGGCCCTCAGACGATATGGGCCTCAGACGGTATGGGCCTCAGACGGTACAATATGGGCCCTCAGACGGTACAATATGGGCCTCAGATGGTATGGTATGGGCCCTCAGACGATATGGGCCTCAGACGGTATGGGCCTCAGACGGTACAATATGGGCCTCAGACGGTACAATATGGGCCTCAGACGGTACAATATGGGCCTCAGACGGTACGGTATGGGGCCTCAGACGATATGGGCCTCAGACGGTACGGTATGGGGCCTCAGACTGTACAGTACGGGCCTCAGACGATATGGGTCTCAGACGGTACGGGCCTCAGACGGTACTGTCCTCAGACGGTACGAGCCTCGTATTGTGCACAGGCGATGTGATTGGCAGAAGACTGCATTCATTCACATAGATTTATGTCTCTGGATGAGCAAACGCGGTACTTTAAAACTCCTTGAATATTGTCTGAACCACGGTTTCCAATCCCAGTCTGCAGTAACCAGCCTGGAGGCTTACATGAGTTTTTAGCAACTATGGCAGAGGAGTGACTTCAGAGAAACTGAAATGTAAGTTGCATGACTGGCGCATTGACCGCAGCTCACACCTTCCTGTCAATATTCACCCCTAGTGATGAACACGCTGCCAATGAAGACACACCCAACTTGGCTGGACATGAACCGCCTAGAGTGAGACGTGACTTTGGCTTTAGGCGCCTTGAAGAGGCGGCTCATCTCAGCTGCTTGTGCTCAGGAATCTGTTTTCTTGGCCATAATTCATACTTGATGATCAGACAAGAAGATGGACCTGGTTATGAAGAACGTTTGCAGCTGAGAGTCATCCTGCTGAATCTCATTTCAACCACGTCAGACTGCGAGCCTGTGCTGAAGGACAAACAGGATGAGAGACACCGAGCGTCCTGCTCCGGTCCAACATGAGCTGGAAATGAACACAGCTGCTGAGTAATGGCACAAATTCCTGCACCAATCCCTGAAAATGCCTTTGGGGCGAGGTGAGAAACAGAAGCGGACTGGACAGCCTCCCACCAGGCGAAGCCACTTCTTGAATTGGAGAATCGGCCGTCCTGCTGACCCAGAGTGAACAGGCTGAGCCATCGGACCTCCTGATGGTTGAAATAACCCACAGCTCTCTGTTCTGCTCTGAAGCACTAAATCTTGCTTCAGTCATCAGCCCTGCAGTGAAGTGTCAACTATAAGTAAATTAAGGAAACTCAGCACAGAACCCTGAGGAACTTCAGCCACAGAAAGAAAGCAACACACCTTAAATGTGACACCCTAAGCAAAGTTCTTCTCTCTTTCAGCTTGTCAATCATCAGACCAGGAGCTGCAGAAACAGGAGATGATCCGCGTCTCGGCCGCTGTGAAGCCCTTTAATGGCCTGGCATGGCAGGCATGAAAGCAATAACTCATGTCAGTTGGTGCTAAACATGACCGTAACGGGCCCCGCTTATTATTTACAGCATAACGAAGCATTTCTACCTTCCACCGAATATTCCTGATTAAACTCCCAGAACCGAAGCTCAAACTGGAAACATCACATTTATCTTTTCCTTCACTGGTGAACAGCTTCTTTCTGAGAAGTTGAAAGGTCAGCACCTAACGAGCCGGGCTCTGGATGCGGGAGGCAGATGAAGACGGCGGCTCTGCAGACATCATGCTGGCGTTTCCTCGCTTTTGTCCTGCTCAAACTTTCTATACTTACCTTCCCTCTGAGTGTCACATGACGAGTGATTATCGAGTTACAGGAGATCCAAACAAACACGTGCTTCCTGAGCGGGAGGACACTCAGATTGAAGTCAGACATCTTTTCACTGGGATGGTCGTTATTCAGAACAGGAACCAGTCCTGAGAGGGAAACACGGAGCATCAGGAGTAAAGCAGGTGTTTCGCTTTCTTCTTGCCTGAGGCCGCACTTCCACTAATTAGCTAAAACCACTAACTAATTTTTCAGTTAGTGGTTTTGATAACTTTGAAAACACCTAGCGCACTTAGCTTTCCCTTAATTATTTTCCTGCTAAATTAGAGGTTTATTAAACTTTCGGTAGAATAAAGTTCAGCTTTTATTCTTCATGTAGTGAGGCTCTTAAAGGACATTTGACAGGGTTGAATTAGCGCGTTAGCTTCTGCTAAATGACTTCTTGGTGTCGTGCTTTAGCGCTAGCTTAGGTAATGTCTATAATCAGGGTCAGTCATGTGGTGTCTGTTCGGTCATGTGACATTGACTGCAATGTTTAACTGAACCAGAAAACCAATCTATGTAATATCCATAAGAGCTCAGAAGCTAGCTGCGCTAACCCACAAGCCCTGATCATAAACACTATTTATGCTAAGGTGTTAACATGGTAATTAGCATGAGCTAATGTTAAAGCACTAAATTGAACCCCATCTCTCCCCATGGTGTTGACACAACGTGTTATATCGCCCTCAACAGGATCACAGTTGCTACTGCAGAACAGAAACTGACTTTCTGTTTTTCAGGAAGTCAGTTTATAGCAGAACTTTCACTGAGTTTCAGTTTTATAGTTGAATATTAATAACTGTTACTGGTTTTGTTTTAATAGTCATGATTAGAAAGCATGCAGAAGATCAGCAGCAATGCATTCTGGGTACAGAATAAACAACTGATTGTTGGATGCCCAAAAATCAACAAATCTTCTGTTTCAAACTTTTAAAATCAATTCATTTAATATTTGAAGTACTTTTTAGACAGGATGTTTCAGCCAATAAAACACTGGTAAAAGTTTTTATTGCACTTTAAAAACAAACAGAATCAGGAAGGATTTCCTCTGGAGAGCGTCCAATGATCAGTGTAGGAAGCTACAAAGTATGAAGAATGCTGTTTAGATGCTGCAGCTGAGGAGGAGACATTCACTACATGACAGCTGGCTGCTCTGAAGCTCTGATCTCCACTCAAAGGAAATGTTGGATGATAATTAGATTAGCAGAGCTCTATATTTAGCTTGGCACGGAGCGACTCCTCCTGGCTCTCCTCAGCTGTTAAATGACATAACAGAAGTCCTTAGAACCAGTGATGAGCATTTATAGATGGTTTTATGAGAAAACTTATCCAAAGCAGGAAACCATCCAAAGCAAACATCTGAAATTAAGGAACTCAACAACTGACCTCCCAAAGTGTCTCAGCCTGTTGCTGCAGCTGATCTGCTGAGTGCAGATAAACCCTGGAGGACGCCGGCAGCAATACGAGGGTTAACGGGGTTAACGGGCCCAGAAACACTGACATACAGTCAGACATCAAAGAGGAGGATTTACTTCCTGCTTCAAAGAACGAAAGATCAGCCGGGAATTTTAAATGCATCCTTCATAATTTCACATCAGGCTTTTTAAATTAAACTCCAGTCCGTTTTAATCCTCTTGTCTGGTTTGTTTGGGAAGGTCTGAATGTGTAATTGGACTCCAATCCGCTTCCAAACCTCCGTTTCAGTTCGGTTGAAGTGAACTCTGGGTTGCCAGATCTGACTGAACGTCTCCAGCCAAAAGCAACGTAAAACCCATCCAACTCCCAACAGGAAAACAAAAACTAGCCCAAATTTCAACCCAAAATAAAACTTGTTGATTGTCCCATATGTAACTGACTGTGATTCATGTACATTTTGTTTGTTCTGTATTCTGACCAGAACCGTTTCCCACTGGGACTGCAAAGAACTTGACTCTGAACAAAATAAGACTTGAGTTTTTCTTCTCTTAAATTTAGATGTCACCCTGAGATTCCCATAGATAAATAAACTCATAAATTAAAAGTAGTAGCATTTTTAGAGGTTTTGTGCTTTTCTGCAAACTATTTAGAAATTTGTTTTATTTAAACCTGAAAAAAATGATGTGAAAAGCAGCCCAAATTTTAACCACCAGCCAAATGTGTTCAAAGGTTGAGCAGAAAGCAACCTGGCAACATTGCTCTGATGCTGCCCACATCCGTATGTGAACGCCAAGCGGCCTGGAGACCGCTCCAAAAGCAGGAAGTGGATTGCAGCGCAGGGAATTCTGGGTAAATACAACCAAAACAAATGTGTTAGCCTCGCTAGCAGGAAGACAAAAGAGAAACCCTTAAAATGTGATGCCTCCATTTTGTTTCCGTTTGGTGAAGAAGGAAGTCGTGCTCAGGGTCTTCCTCAGTGGTTCCTGGCGCAGCGCCCCCACAGGTGAGGAGGGGAATGGTACAGGTTGGACTGGCCAGCAGTGGGCCGGGTGGCATTCTGAGGTTCTGGTGGTCCCATCGTCCCGTTAGAGGCGCTGAACTTTCCCTTCATGATGAAGTGTTTGAAGCTGACAGTGTCTCCGGTCTCCGCAGTGAAGCTGTTTCCCGTCACCTGCGAGTTCATCAAGGGAGAGAAGCAGTTCTACTACCGAGCGCAGAAGTTCTACGAAGACGTCCCGGCCTCCGAGGAGGGCATGATGGGAGACTTCGTTGAGATTTCCAACGTGGATCTGGAAAGCTCCCGTCAGTTTCTGAAGAGGTTTGTGGTGAGTTGCTCAATGGCACTACGGCGCTCTGTTCATGCACCTGAGCTAAAACTGCTGTCACTCCAAGTTCAACAATGAAAGAAAATAATTTCATAATAAATTCAATAAAGATGATTGTTTTATTTTGTTAGTTTTTCTGCAGCTATATCTGAAATTCTACAACATGTTTATAAAAATAAACAAGATTCTGCTGTTTGATTTTGATGTTTTATTTCAAACAAAGTGAAAGTAAAATAAGCTTCACTTTTACAGTTTATTTCCACTGACAGGAATTTAAATATTGTTTACCAATTCTTGTGGTGTTTCAGCAATGTCTTTTTTTGCTCTTTGGAAAAGTAAAAAAAATGACAAAACAAATAAAATGTAAAAATTAAAATAAAATTTGTTTAATTCACTTTGTTGCTGCTTTCAACATATTTCTGGATAGATAGGAAGGATTTTTATTGCTCCTTTGTGGGTTTTTATCTGAATGAAGAGATAAAACCTCTTATCAATGCAGAAATAACGTCTGCATTGTGAGACATCGCCGGTTCTATCAGCCGGTTTCAGAGTAAACCTGATAATTCTGCTGCTTCTCCGTCAGCTTTGCACTTCGCTGTAGTTCTGGTTTCCCTCCACTGCTGGATCAGTTTCTCTGCTGCTGGTCGCTGAATATCAGAGTCTATTTTAGGAGAGAAATTCATCATCCCGTCTCTGCAGAAATAATTTCACCTAGATTTATGTGCCGTTCCTAAAAGCAGATAAAATTTGCTTAAGTTTGATGCAAAACCAAAATGGTGACCAGAACTCGGGATGAAAAACGTAGAAAACGTTTAGCTGAAATGGATTATTGCGTTAATTAACTTATTTACGTCTGATTTTAAAAGCATTTCTTATTTACTGAAAAACACCGCAATTGCAAAATTGTGTTTTTTCTACGTTAGCAGAATATCAACGAAGTTTTACGCACATCTGTAATGGAAACACAGCTAGTGACAAAGAAACCAAAGCAGCTAATCAGAGGTGAGTGGAAACAGCTGCAGCAAAGCGCAGGCAGCGGGAAATCAGGAGATAAAAAACAGCTGAGGAGGGAAACAGGCTGAGGGAAAGGTGAGCGATAAACACAACGGAGAGAACCTGAAGGTAACGTAATAAACTGGAAGAGCTTTAATCTGAAGAAAAGTCCAAATGCAGGCAGGAATACAGATAAAGGAGCTAACAGTGGAATAAACCCAAACAGCAAGAAGTGGTAATAAAACAACAAAGATCCAAACCAAAGCCACATATCATGACACATCTAGAAATAAAGCAAAATGGCAAGATCTGGTAATAAAAGAACAAAGAAAAGATCCAAACCAAAGCCACATATCATGACACATCCAGACCGAGCGAGCTGCCAGCAGCATGACTGTTCTAACAAGTTCTTCTTTCTCCCATTTGGACTTTAGAGTCGGGTTTTATTTTACTGGTTAAGGGTTTGAAACCAACTGAAGCTGATCCATCATTAAGTCTACATCTATTGTTTGAACTAGACGGAAACAAGTCAGCAATTTAAAATAAATACCAAAACTCCCTGAACAAAGCTGTACGAAGGGCAAAACCTTTTCTGTTTACTAATTATATTTGCTAAATGGGCCCAATCAGAATCCGGGCCAGTTGAGAAGGGCAGGAAAAATGAGCCAAACTTGGTTCGGATCAGTATTTGTTTTATGGTAGAGTTTTGATGTCCAGAGCAATGGGAACGATGGGAACGGTGGGAAACGATGGGAACGGATGGGAACGATGGGAACAATGGGAAACGATGGGAACGGTGGGAACGATGGGAACAATGGGAAACGACGGGGAAACGATGGGAAAGCTGGGAAACGATGTCGGTTCCTCGTTTCCTTTTCTCCTTGTTGTGTTTCACATAGAAATTTCTCCTAGTTTGAGTCGGAGAACAGGCACAAGGGGAAGGCCTGCAAAGTACGCAGTACTGCTTGTAATATCTTATAAAATCATAAGATATTTACTGACTTCATGAGTCAGTGAACAGAGCTGGACATGTTTCACAGTGAGCCAGAGACAAGAAAAACGAACTTTTCAAAAAGAACAGCAAAAACAATCATTTTTCTTATCAAAGTCAGGTTTGGAGGACCGTCGGTTCTTAGACAGGAAGACTTATTGATTTGATTTTGTATTAAAAACTAAAGATCTGAATGTTTGTCTGGATGATGTAAATTTTACGGCTGAGATAAATTTCAACCTGTCAGTGGAACATTTGAGTCAATTTTCTGAGTAAATCTATTTTAAATCATAAAACTGCATGCTTTTTTTGGATTTTGGTAGATAATTGTTAATATGATGACGTGTGTCTAGTGTTTGTTTCACCACCAGAACATTAAAACTCAGCTTCTTACAGGGTGATTATTTCTGGCATCAGTCCTCTGGCTTTATGCACGATATGTCTCAGGTTTTTAGGCAGTATTTTAAAAGATTCTGCACCTTTTCTAGAAAATCAAAGATTTTACAGAATCTAAAAGCTGCTGTTGCTCCAGAAACCGGGTTATAAATTAGATTCAAAAGAACTAATAAAGCTGATAAAACGACCTTATTTTGTCTTTGAAAGAGGCAAACGTGTCTAGATGAATATAAATAATAATCATGCGGCGGGGAGCATGCACGCAGCACATGACGGCTCTGTCGAGGTTTGTTTTAGCTGCTGGGGGTGATGCTGTTGCTAATTCTGGGGACATGTTTGGCCCAGAGACCTGCTTATATCCAGGATCTGTTAAACAGCTGCTCTAATTATAAACTGCCAACACTTTGTGCTTTAAAGAGCTTTTAATATAAACACAGCACCGCTCAGGAGTTATAGGGGCGCCGCTACTGGCTGACACTGCAGTACAGTCAGAACATAAACACAAACTGATGGTTTTCATTCCGAGAACTAATTCTACTGGCTGTCAACATGGTTGAAATTAACGCTTTACTGTTAATTTGCTGTAGCTGCTGCTGAATCATGACTTGCTGTCGGATCCTAGTGAATGAAACTATAAACTCGACTCTCTCTATATTTCCCTTCAGTCCAGTTCATGACAAAAAATCCACTTCTTACATTTCAACTGTTTGCTTCAAAAATAAAAATGACACAGATGTAATTTAGCCACAAAAAGAGTAAAACAATGAGAAAACCGTGTCTCCACTCCAAGTAGCTCCTGCACAGCGACACATAAAAGCTGCTTAACAAGTCGGCAGTACAAATGTACATATTTACATTCACCAGAGAGCCTTAGTGACGGATGCAATACATTCCTACACATGACAGTTTTAACTGGTAAATACTCATTTTTATCCTAATAAACCTGAATTATCATAAGGAATATAAATTTAATTTATCCCCAAACTGAATAAACTACAACTGAGTTTTGGCTCCTGCAGTTGATGCAGTGCTTTAGCGTTAGCTACGGCTAAATCCCATGTTAATGCATTTATGGTCAGTGCAGGTTAAGCACAGCTAGCCTGTTAGCCTCCACTGCTAATTGGATTAAACTGGCTTGTTTTGTAAAGTTCCTTCAGATGAGATGTTCTCATTTGGCTTCAGAAGCACTTCGGACCGCCTTGTTGCTGAAAACAAGCTGCATAAATGAAATTACATTACCAGATAAATAAAATGAACTAAATTCAATAATTGTTGCATGAATTTTATTACTATGGGATAAATAACAGAAAACAATAATCCTAGCTGTCATTTTATTCTGCACTAAACCAGGAAAAGGATTTCTTCCCTGAGGCCATGATTTATAATGTTTGCTTTTTAATTTAAAACACCATAAAATCTCTAAATGTTCCTGTATTCCCTGGATGTTCATTCCAGTTAAAAAGGAAGCTACTTGTTTACTTTGAACATTTTCTATTTAAATTATGACCACATGGTTCAGAATGTGAAAACCAGCCAGAACTTTCCACTTTTTAAACTTTAAGTCTGTGGTTGCATAAATTTCCCTTCGTAGTTGAGAAGCTACTTTAACACAGAAAGTACAGCTAATTGCCAATTATACAGTTTAATACAATTAACTCTTTAAATATGTCTAAATATAAAACACTAAGGTTTTATATTTAGACAGGATTTTGCGATAGAAACACCTTCATGAGCATTAGAAGTGGCAGAAAATCCGTCCGTGTTAAGCAGATGTGTAAATACAAGCAGAGAAATGTGGCAGTAATTCACTGAAACCAGGGGCTCCTCAGGGGCCCCTTCCTCCATCGGATCACACCCAGGGGCCCCCCGACGCAGAAGGGTTGGGCTGAGGTCAGAACAGCAAACCAAAGGGAAGAAAAGCCGCCGTGATTCAAGTCGAGCTGACTTTTAGTTGCTGACTGGTGGTAAAGTTCACTGCTTTGAAGCCCTGAGGAGCCGAACTGTTGGCTCCTCTGAACCCAAACGCCGCGGCAACCAAGCACAGAGCTTTATGGAGATTTTAAATATGGAAAATAACTTTACACGCCCATCCTGATGTCAGATTCAAGCACGTTTCAAGAGAATTTAACACCAGATGATTGGTTTTTAACTCTATGAGTTCCTAACTCTCAAACACGATCAAAAATAGGAGATAAAATGATCAGAAATATCAAAACCTTGAGCAATCAAGTTGTATTTTGACGCATCGTTGATGTAAGGTCTCCCAACAGGGGCCGGGGAAAGCCGGGACACACTGCGCTCTGGACTGTGGCTCCGGGATCGGACGCGTCTCCAAGGGCGTCCTTCTTCCCGTGTTTGAGAAAGTAGAGATGGCCGACATGATGGAGCACTTCCTGCTCCACGCGCACGAGGAGTATCTGGGCGACGACGCCGACCGCATCGAGACCTACTACTGCTTCAACCTGCAGGAGTTCACGCCTCCCAGAAACAAGTACGATGTCATCTGGATGCAGTGGGTGGCGTGTAAGTGCTTCCTGGTCTTCACTGAGGTTCCCTGATTGCAACTGAGAACTGATTCAAAAGAGAAATTTGAAAGAGCAATTCACACCAACCCGACTCCGGTCCGCTTTGACCCGACTCCGGTCCGGTTTGAACCGACTCCGGTCCGGTTTGAACCGACTCCGGTCCGCTTTGACCCGACTCCGGTCCGCTTTGATCCATCTCCGGTCTGCCTTGACCCGACTCCGGTCCGCTTTGACCCGACTCCGGTCCGCTTTGACCCGACTCCGGTCCGCTTTGAACCGACTCCGGTCCGCTTTGACCCGACTCCGGTCCGCTTTGACCCGACTCCGGTCCGCTTTGAACCGACTCCGGTCCGCTTTGACCCGACTCCGGTCCGGTTTGAACCGACTCCGGTCCGCTTTGACCCAACTCCGGTCCGCTTTGACCCGACTCCGGTCCGCTTTGACCCGACTCCGGTCCGGTTTGAACCGACTCCGGTCCGCTTTGACCCGACTCCGGTCCGGTTTGAACCGACTCCGGTCCGCTTTGACCCGACTCCGGTCCACTTTGATCCATCTCCGGTCTGCTTTGACCTGACTTTTCGTTTTTCCATATGTAATGGCATTTAGAAGGTATTATAAAATGTTATTTAAAGTGTATATACATTTTTAAAATGTTCTTGGGTTCCCCCTGATGGTGTTGGGGCCCTAAGCATTTGCTTAGCTTGCATTTGCCTGGGGCCGGCTCTGACCAAGACCACTTCAGAGGTTTTGAGTCAGAAATAACCCGGCTAACATTTTGGCTTCTCTTCCTCCAGGCCACCTGACAGACAAAGACCTGCTGAACTTCCTGATTCGCTGCAAGAAGAGCCTCCGCCCCAACGGCGTCCTCATCATCAAGGACAACATGGCGCGGCAGGGCTGCAAGCTGGACCCCATCGACAGCAGCATCAGCCGCCACCTGGACATCATGAAGGTTATCGTGTCCAAAGCCGGCCTGGAGATCCTGGCGGTGGAGCGGCAGGAAGGATTCCCAGAGGTCATCATGCCCGTCTGGATGATGGCCATGAAGTGAACAGCCTCCAATCAGAAACGTTTCACTCGACACCAGATGGTTTTAAGATGCTGGGAGGAACACGGAGAGTGGTTCTGGTTCTGTTTCCCTGCTGGTCCGGTTTTTCTGAGAGGTGACGGTGGATGTGGACCGGTCACGCATCGTCTGAGCCGCCTGTAGCTGCACTGATGCATCAGATGTAAATATTCTGTTTGAATGCAAGAACTTGTTTTATATTTTTAAGGATGATGTTGCTCATGAACTACATTTAAAGTTCTGCTGAAATTAAACTTTACTTTCATCCTCCATCCTGTAACTGAAAAAATTATAATAATTTTATTAAATACAGTCAAATAAATAAATAGCATTTTTATTTTGCTTCAATCAGCTAGCTTTTTAACACTGAACAAATGAAATTATGAATAAATTGCATTTATTAACAAATGATTATTCATCAGTTCATCTGTCTTTCAGATTTTGCATTTCTTACGAATTAAAGATTTGATTTAGTTTAATCACATTAAACTACAGAAACTGAAATATTTATTGTTGCAGTTTAAACTCAGAAACATTAAATTATTTTGATCATTAAAATGTTGGCCATAATTTTGGATCACATGACAAAATCATGTTAACCAAATGTAGATCACATCAGCTTCATCATGTTTAGTATGAAAATAAACAATTAGTTGTTAAACTATTTAGCTTGCTGAGTATTTAGTTTGTAGCTATTTAGAAACTAGGTTAATATAGCAAATGTTTAGTTTCAAATTAAATGTTTATCTTGCTAATTAAGTGATATAAATGAATAACAATAAGGTGAAAGTTTGAAGATTGAATCTCTTGGTTTTCTCTGATAAAAAGCTAAAATAAAGAAATTATTGCTGTTAAGTTTTGACTGTGCAGCTTTACAAACTGCATATGGAATAGAGAACATCCATAATAAATCCAGAGCCGTGTTTAAACCGGTAACCTCTCCACTCTGGAAGAAGAGCCGTTTAAATAAATCATTAAAAGCTACAAATTATTTACAGTTGAGCATAAAAGCCCGGTGGGCGAGCAGCAGGATGAGGAAGATCTTGTCCTCTCCTGGGACTCATCCTCCCCAGGATTATTGTGTTTTTATAAACAGCAGAGGCAGCAGATTGTTTTTGGTTTAATGGTTTTCAGCTGCAGCCTGAGGTGGATCAGATACCGGCCCGGTTTGAACAAACAGAGCCTGTTTTCATATATCAGCGCTGGCTTGTCTTCAGGTTCTGTCAGGTTCTGTCTGGATGAAACCCGTCCAGAGGACATCCATCCCTCCTGTGAGGCCCGGGCCGCCTGGCGTCACATGACCCTCCCTGCGTCTCCACATCCAGCATGAATTAAAGATCAAAATGGCCCAAAGTTAAACTTGTAGCTAATGGCAGCCAAATGTGCCGTCACCTTTTCAGGAGCGGTTAGCGTGGCTGACAGTCAGAGCTATCGCCTCTAATAGAGCTCAGCAGCCTGCAGCCGCTTCCATACATCAGCTGCAGTAACACTAATTTGTCCCGTCACGCCTTTCAGACCCACACCGAGCAGATCAGATGCAGAGTTCGTGTCTGGGAACACTTCGGCTCCACTGTCCCAATGAAAATATCATAAAACATAATATCCAGTGCTGAAAATTACAAATGATTACTTTCCTTCAATGACACTGTCCAGGAAAACTGTTTGCTTGGAGTCCCAGGGCCTGTCAGCAGATCCTGGTGCTGTGGCTCTAACAGGGTCTCTCTTCTGTTTGGATAGAAAGCCTGTTGTGACAGAATGAGAAGGTTCAGTTTCTAACCTCACATGAAATCGACATCAACAAGACAAGAAGCCGGAATCGAACCCGCAACCTTTGCATTTTGAGACGACTGCCAGGATTATTTAAACATTTAGCATCATTATTATTTAGAGCCGGTACTTTCATTGGGATCAAATAATTACATCCATTTAATTTTAAGGCAATTAGTTACATTTTTCTTTCCTACATACAGACGTTCCGGCTAGAACTTTAGTATTTGCGAGTTTTGTGTGAGTAAATCTGACACAAAAACTATGTCTGCCAGTCTGGGAATAAAGTTGTTTAAAAAAAATTAAAATATAAATAAGTTTTACCAGTTTAAGTGGTCATTGAATTATTTCCATTTGCATCTTTGCTTTTGTTGTGTTCTAGGATTTGTGTGCTTCCCACATTCTAGTTGATATGATGAAAAGTGTTATTTTAAAATAAGTAGGAAGACAGGAATCATCTGCATTTTCCAAATAATTCAAAAAATTAATTAACATACAATTTATTGTTTACAATATTTTAAATTCATTTTATTATGTCAATATAATATTTGGCATTTTATTATACATTTATTTGTCATTTGTATTATAATTTGCCATGTCTATGACACTATTTAGTTTATTATACACACATATACATGTCTATAAATAATCACGTTTTATGTATATTTATTAATATTATATCATCATATTAATTTAGAATAATATTTGATGCAATGTATTATTTCATGGTGTATTTGTAAATTATTTGTCTTTATTTTAATTTTTTGAGGCCTTTCCTCAGCTTGCAGCTCCCCTCTCGGCCTGTAGAGGCCGCTATCCGCCCTGCAGGCCGCCGGCCTGCTCCGTGTTGCGGCTCGCCGCGTCCCGTGGGGACAGTAAACACCTCCGGGAGAAAGCAGCGGGAATCGGCTGGATCCTCCCTGGATCCGGGGCGCTCCGCTGGAGGAATGCGCCTTCTCCTCATTTCTCACAGTAAATCACGTCAGTGCAGAGAAACGGTTCAGATGATGATCTAGTGGCTGCCTCTTCATTCTCCCTGCATGTCGTCAAGCCTCTCAAAGTGCTTTTCTCAGCTCCGCTCAGGCCTCCAGGCAGGGATTCGTTACAGACTTTCTTTCCCCTGACCCGGTTCGGTTCTGAACATGTAATATTTCACCCAGTGAGCGCAGCTTTGAGCCGGGATCAGGTGCTTCTGACTGCGGAGGTTTTATCTCCGAGCTGAATAAAAACCATGACGTACTGCGATGCAGCTCGCAAACCAGCGTTCAAGCAGAACCCGCACGAAACATGAAAACCGAAGAAAAGAAGAAAAACTTGGGCTTCAAACTCCAACGTCCCGCTGAGCAGCGACTGACGGATAATCCGCTCACCACAACAAGGCGGAGGAAATCCTTCCCATCTGTAGGCCCCGAGGACGGGCTGGATGGATGGAGACCAACGTGGAGATGTTTGACCCAAACCAACAGAAGCAGAACCGTGTTTGGAGACAGTAAAGATCAGCAATCTGACTGTGAGGCACGATGGTGGAGGGATGAGGATGTGGGATTGATTTACAGCTGCATGAGCTCCTCAAAATCAGTTTTCAAAAGTAAAGTATTGAAATAATTTTAGTTTCACTGATCATTAGTGATTACATAAAATTTTCTGTCATCAACAAAACACTTGAACAGCCAAATATCTGCAGCAATGATGTAGGAAACCAAAAATACCTTTACTAGGAATTTAAAACGTTTTTGTTGCAGTTGTACGTTTTGACTAGTCCCGCCATTTTGGATGTGGAAGCAGCGACACAGGGCCTTACCGTCCCAGTCCTCAAATTTCCCGCTCAGAGCCTGAACCATCAAGCTAATCCGCTTCACAGAGGGACCGAGGCGGTAACTGAGCTTCCGGACCGGGACAAAAACTGAGCCATCACATTCTAACTGTTGGAGGATTTTTTTTTTTGTGCTAAAAAGCCATTTCTCCTGCTAGCGCCAGGCTAGCATGTTTGTTTTGGTTGAATTTACCCAGAATGCCCCGCGCTGTAGTTCACTTCCGGCTGTTGGAGCGGATTCCAATCGGAGAACGCCATGAAGAACTAGAAAATTCCTGAAGAAATTTAACCGGGCCCTGCCAAAGTTTGCCCGTCGATTTGGATCCAGAGTTCTGATGCTAAACATTAGCATCCATGCTAAGAAAGCTGCAATGTCATCAATACAATGTGGAGAGTCACAAGCATGACTGACTGCATTCAGTATACTAAATATGGGTAATAAGTAAGAGAAATAGCTAATACCTCATGCAAGGTAAAAGGCTAATGCTAATGCTCTGCCTTGCTGTGCAAGGCAGAGCCCTAACCTGAGTGGAAAAGATCATGCAGGATAATCTTATTGCACTGCCTACGGCAGTGCACTGGTGGGGAACAGAGAAATGCTAATGTTTGTGCTAATGCTAATGCACTGCCTTGCTGCGCAAGACAGTGCCCTAACTTGAGAGGGAAAGATAATGCAAGCTAATATCATTGCAGCGCCTGCGGCGCTGCATTAGCCACGGCCGAATCTTAAGGCTTTTATTTTGAAATGTTCAGAATGTTTCATTTTAAATGGTCAATGTAATCCCATGTATAACAGTGATTTGGTTAAATCAGACATATAATGGTCAAAAGAGCACTTATTTAATGTAAAATGGTCAAGGCTTTTATTTTGAAGGTTTTTTAAAGTTAATTTAAAATTTCCACACTAATTCCATGTGTAACAATGGTTGGTTAAAAATAGTTATCAAAGGCCCAAAACACAAGCAGTTCTAAACTCCAGCTTTTTTCTCTGAGTTCTGCCATAGTTAGAACTACAGTGATGCGTTTTTGTAGTCCTAATCAGCTGGCCCCTTTGTGTTCCGTTGCCATGGTAATGGATCCTCTGCCAGCTGTAAGTCAGACAGGGGAGACTTAATTCTATCAGTTTGAGGCAGCCATTTTCCCTAAAATAGGCATGAGTCAGAAAGGAATCTTAAGGCTTTTATTTTTGAAATTTTCAGTAAGCTTCATTTTCACTGTCCAAAATAATCCAAAGTGTAACAGTGGTTTTGTTAAAAAAAAGTCACATAATCCCCAAGAGAGCAATTCCCTAATATAAAAGTATGTCAGGGCTTTTATTTTGAAATTTTAATTCAACTTAATTTAAAATTACCACGCTAATCCTGTGTGTAACAAATGATTGTTACACAACCGTTTGAAATCATTATAAAAAGTCCAAACACAATATAATTCTAAAGGCCAGCTCATTCCTCCTCAGTAGTAACTGACAGTTCCGCCATGTTGTAGTTCTGACAATCAGCTCTGACCTCTTTTGTAGGCACTGAGTG